GCGCGGAACAAGCACGCCAAGAGCAACATGACGTGGAACCATGTAAGAAATGGGATGCCAGTGATGGATGTGAGTGGGCGTGTGTGTGGGAGACGGGGAAGACGAGAGGCAGCGGGGGGGCACCACGACGACATCACAGTGGTGGTGTTGCTCTTCCACCACGAGCCGAGGAACGAGCTCGCCAAGAGCAACATGACGTGGAACCATGTGCGGCATGGGATGCATTGTGAGGGGTCTGGGTGCGTGTGTGTAATGGGGGTGGGGGGGAAGGCGAGGCAGCGGCGAGAGTACCATGATGACAACACAGTGGTTGTGTTCCAGTTTACCACGATGCGCGGAACACGCACGCCAAGAGCAACATGATATGGAACCATCCGAGGAACATTTAACCCCTTCTCATTTCCTGTCTACCCGGTCTCCCCTTGTACAGGACATTTCTTTCAAGGGAGGCAAGGACGCCCGGCTAGCTCTTAATGCGGCAGCAGCGGCAGATCTTGCCTCGCCCTCAAAACCAGGAACCAATGAGGCGCTAGCAGCCCTGTCCTCCGCGTCAGGCTCGCTTGCCCGAACCACCTCATCCGTGCCTGAGGATGGAGTGCTTGAGATGGAGGAGATGACAGGTCCTGCCCGAACCAACAGCCGAACCTTCCTGACCTGGTCAAAGTAGGCATGGCTTGGGGAGTGGTGTGAGGTGAGATGCAGGGAGTCGCGGTTTTCCAAGCACTATTAAGTGGGCAGAAGTAGGCACTCGGTTCAGTTGTGGGGAGCTTCGGAGTAGGCACTTGAGCATCGTCAAAAGACGTCAGTATGTATGAGAGGGTCGAGACAAATGGCCATAAAAGGATGGGCTTTGTAGGTTTGGTGGGGTGTGCTCTGTAAGAGTTTATGAGATGGGCAGGCACTGCCATTAGATTCCTTGTGTAAACTGGTGGATAATGCCACCCACATTGTTACAAGGGGAAACATGGGGATCTATGTAAAGCCAATGATGGATTATTTGGTTGTGGAGAGGGGCATGCTAGGTGTGTGAGTGGTACAATAGTTTTCAGGATAGAAGCCCACGAGCCGTCAGTTGCTTTCACCAGCCGGCTGTGCCTCGTCATTCGCATACTCTCCACTGCATGCTAAAACAGCAGGCTCGTCCCCAAAAAACCAATCATCCTCCTTCACTTGATCCGATTCTAACTACTACCGGTAGTTACCAAAGTAACCGGCCCGGCCACACCCCTTCATCCTCAGCTCTCCTCCCAAGGCTCACCTTCCTCCACTTCAACACCGTGCCAGACGCAACCCCGTGAATGCTGACCATAGCTGGCACCCTCGCATCGCATCATCTTCCACTGAAATGACTATCCATGCATCAACGCCCTGTGATCCATACGTCAATCGTCTACGCCCCCCCTCGCATCCACTCCATCGGCCATCTCAAAGGGCGCTCCATGCTCCCCCTCAGCAACATCATCATCATTCTCCTATTCCTCATCCTCCCCTTTTTCCTCATCCTCCCCCTTTTCCTCATCCTCCCCCTTCTCCTCATCCTCCCCTTTGTCCTCCCCCGCATCCTCGTTGTCCCCATCAAGCGCATCCAACTCCCCGCCATCATCTCCCTCACTCTCGCTGCTGCAGCAGCTACTGCATCCTGCCACGTCATCCCTCCTATCCTCAACCATTGTGCCGCTCCCAACCCGGATCTCCCTCAACCCCGCACATCCCTGCACCCTCAGCAGCTTCAGCTGCTCCAGAGAGCTCAGCGATGCAGGCAGGGTGCGCAGCCGGGGCAGATTCACCAGCTCCAGCTCCTGCAGCTGATGCAGGTCCCCAATGGCATCAGGCAGGCATCTCAGCCCGGGAAGGTCTTCAAGGACGAGGTACTTGAGGGCCGGAAGGCGGCCAATGGTGAGATTCATGCCGTGGGAGCAGGTTCGTAGCACGAGCTCCTCCAGCTGGTCCATGTGGTCCAAGTGGAGCTCCCAGTCCTGCTCGTCCGAATGGTAGATATCCACCATGCTCAGCCGCCGCACACGAGGGGTCGCCTCAATCAGCTCCACGAGGCAGTAAGGGAAGGAGTCGAGATCCACGTCGTACACCTCCACCTCCAGCAGCATAGGCAGACACCCACTTTCCTCCTTGTCTGGGTCCGCGGTAAAGTCTGGGACGTTGTGGTGTATGACGAGTGTGCGCAGTGCATGCAGGTCAATAAGAGACAGCGTCAGATCCAGCCCGTCCTCCATGCCAATCAACCGGAGGTCCTCCAGGGCCTTGAGCCGGCCAAAGTTGTGCGGCAGAGACTCCATGGCGCAACGCTCCAGCACCAGCTTCTGAAGAAAAGGCAGGGCAGTCAGCGACTCTACGAGCGGCGTTGCTTCGTGGACCCGTGAGAGAGTGAGGCCCCTCAGGCAGGTCATGGCCTCCAGGGTGGCAGCATGCACACGGGTGCTCCCAACGTGCAGCTGCCTCAGCGACTGCAGGGCGGTGATGGCAGGGGGTACGGCGTCGAAGCCAGTGACGCTGAGAGAAGCCAAGGAGGTGAGGGAGGATATGCAACTGGGGAGCACAGAGCCTTGCTCGCTGCAGTTCAGGCTGAGCTGCTCGAGTGAGGAGAGGGCGCTGAGGGCGTTCAGAGCTAGCTGCTTCCCCTCCACACGGAGGGAGCGCAGCGCGGACAGGTGGCTGATGGCGGAAGGGAGGGCTTTGACAGAGTCCAGTAACTCGAGGCTGAGCGAGTCGAGATTGACACAGTGGGAGAGCAAGGAAGGCTGAGCACCAGAGCTGCCGAGTGCCATGTGCGCATCTCCCAGCCTCAGCACGGGCACTTGTGCTGTAGGGCCATCGGCGGGGGTGCGCACAAGGATCGTGTGGCTGTGCTTCTGGATGCTCCTCTTCGCGAGCTGCACGCCTTGCAGCATGGGGCAGGCAGCAACGAAATGCAGCAGACCAGCAGGGGTGACGACGTCACCACGACTGTTTGTGCAGCCCTCCTCCCCACAGCAGCCCAGGTGCAGCTCTGTTAACCCCGCAGCACCATGTGCAGCACCTGTCACGCAGCGGCCGCTGTGACGTGCGGTAACCTCACATGCGTCTTCTACTGCGTTCATGCCGGTGGCAGCTGCTGCAGGCGCCACCAGGAGGCTCGGGAGCATGTCTGCAGTGAAGACACCGGAGGGGTGGAGAATCAACAGCCTGCGCAAGCCTGGGGCGGCAGCAGCAATGGTCAGGAGCAGGCGGTCAGTGATGGGGTCCGAGAGAGCTGCACACTCGAGCTGCAATTCGCGCAGGCTGCTGCTGCTGCACTGCGAGAGCAGCTGCAGCAGCTCTGCTGTGGACACACTGCCGTGCTCCTCCTCCCCACCCGCACGCACGAGCAGCCGCTCCTGTGTTTCGCGGTACGCACGCCGCCACGCCCTGCACACTAGCCAGGGCTGGAGGGCCGGCCGCCAGCAGGCGCGCCGGCTCACATCGTCCTCGTCCGAAATCATCCCACGCCGGCTCAGGCTCAGATTCAGAATCTGCTGGCCCAAATCATCCTTGTCCCAACGGAACTGCCACAGTCGTGCTGCCAGGGACTCCGGCCCGCCCCACGGCTTTCTGGCAGCGGTCCAAATGTGCATCAGCAGGTGCGGCGGGAGGCTGCAAATGGCTGCAGGTGGCATTTCTGCTGCCAAGACCGGGGATAACTGCAAATTAAAGGACGGAGTGGAAACGAAGGAAAGGAATGTTACCAGAAAGGGGGCAGGGGGTGGGGGGAGCGGGGGGGGGGACAAACAAATCAGGATAACCTGAAAGGACATGACACGAAGGGGAAATGTGACAATATCACGAAAGGTTGGAAGAGAGAAGGCGAAAAGCAATGGACAGACAAGAGCAAATCCCAGTAGCATAGTAAGAGAGGGGAACTAAAGTAGAAATGAGCTGGTGGGGTGGCTCAGCTCATCGGCTCGGCTCGGCCACATGTGGAATCGGGCCACCTCTGCGTAGTCTCGGTCAGCTCAGCTAAGCTGCAAGCCCGGCCCGACTAGCCGTCAAGATGACAACTCACGGCTTGCGAGTCGCAAGCACGTATTGAGCGATCATGAGGTGGACCGACTCGCGAGCCGACTCAGAAGGAAAAAATAAAGAAGGAAAAAAAAAAAAACGAAGTCAAGCATGGAATGAGACACGGAAGGACGAAGAAAATTTCATGCAGGAAAGTTATCAAGCGAACGCCAACATCTGCATACACGGAAACGAATGAAACTTTTTTAAAAAGGGCAGTGGCAAAACAAATGAGCGGCCATTGACAGCAAACGAAAAGGGGCTGAAACGGGAAAAATGAGTTTGAACAATGGAGCAGAAGAGGAAGTAATAAACAGAGATTTGAAAAGCCAGAAAGGAAACCATTACAGCGGAAGTGACAATAAGGGAAATCACATCATGACCGGAGGTCAGAGCTAATGGAAGGGGGGGAGGAAGGAAGAAGGCACAGTAGAGAACGATTTATTTATTTTTTACGCGAAAGAAGTAAGCGAAGGAGAAAATAATACAGGAAAGGTAAAGTGACGGCCGGAAGAATGAGAGGGAGAAAACGACACCTCTCTTGCTGTTTTCTCGCTCCTTCCTCTCTCGACCAAGAAGCACAGCAACAGCACCAGCAGTCATGCTAGCACAAGCAAGCGCAATCCAAATGCAGCATTGCGGCACCAGCAGCCGGTACTGGTTGCGATCTTGCCAACAGCAACGACGCCAGCCGAAGTTATCGCGCCAGCAGCGACTATCGTGCACCAGCCGGAGTTATTGCGCCAGCACCACAGCAGTTACCATTACTCAGGCAGTATTTGTGGAGGGTATGGTTATTTGTGAGAGACAACATTCGTGTGATTCTGACGAAACCCTAGACCAAACCTGCCCGTCACTAGCATGTATCAACAAAACATGAAAAAGGAAACACGATAATTCTGAGAAAGGTACAGTAGAGACTAGGCATGAAAAACGGCCCGACCCGGCCCGGTTTTGGGTCGGCTCGGGTAGAAATCGAGCCGGGCCGGGCCGGCCCATAACGGGGCCGGATTCCTGGATTTGTTGGCCCGGCCCGGGTCTCTAGACCCGGGCCGACCTTGGCCCGGTGGCCGAACCGGTCCGGCCCAGTATAAAAACGGGCCTAAACAGGGCCAGCCGGCCCGGGACCCCTTTTTGACTGTTTCGGGTGGGGTTTTGATGGGGGGATGTCGTGCATTGTTCTGGCAGATTTCTAAGGTGGTTGTGGCCCCTTGTAACGTGTCTCATAGTCCCCTAAATGCGCAGGAAATGCAGCTACACATGGAAGGTGGCACACAAGGCCACGAACTTGTGGTTTTTGGGCTGTCGGCTGCTGCAGGCCCTCATGCTATGGAAAATGCAGAATTAGGCAGTCATGTATGCACGTTATCAAGCCTAATAAATAAAGTCCCAAAGAGGGCCCATTGGCTCATTGCCAGGTCCTTGGAGAGACGTAATAATGTTTAATCCAATCCCAACCTGCAGCACCACCCCCAATCCCACTCAAAGCCCCTCATCATCCCCCTCAAGGCACACTCCTCCAGTTGCCTTCAGATTCTTGGCATCCAAGGGCGGCACCCCCGTGTTCTGCGAAAGCCATGACTTGATAGTCATGGTCGCACGCACGTGAGGACCTGTCAGTCGATGACTCTGCCAAGTAATGATATATTCCGACTCTGGCTGAAAGCTCGCTCACTTGCTGCAGACGAGGCCGGGATAGCTAGGTAGTCCCGAGCCATCGCCCTCAACCCGGGGAGGTAGTGCCTGTCACGCCAATAGGCTAGCGGGCAGGAGTCCCGCGGCTCCTTCGCCGCCCTAATGTATGTGTCCACCTCGTCCAGCTGCTGCGACCCCGCCTCCGCCTCCAGCTCATCCAGTGTACTGAACAGTCCATCATCTAGGCCGTCATCCCCCCCCGCAGCTGGTCCAGTCCCCCCCTCCACCTCTACCCCCGCCCCAACTGGTGCGCGTCGGCTTGTCCCCGTGCTGGTATCGCGAGACCTCAACTCCTGCTGATACCCGCTAAGCCTCTCGCGCACTAGCTTCAGCACCGCTGCCTTGTCGATGTCTAGGACCGCTCTTGCCTTCCCCCCCAACTCTGTGGCCAGCTGTGGGTTGTTCGCCTCCCACCTCTTGATCCTGAAATAGAGATGCTTAAAGCGGGGATCCAGGAAGGTAGCAATGAACAACTCCTTGCTCGTGGTGTAGTGGTACTTCTTCAAAGCTGGCAAGGCGGTGGGGATCCAGCCGCGGTGGTGACGCGAGCGAATGGGTGGAGGAAATCACGTAACTCTGTCAGAATCTCCCAATCAGCATCGGTGGGCTGAAGGCTCTGGACTTTCTCGCGCACGCTAGCCCTGGCACCGGCCCGGGGCGGGAAGAGCGGAAATGTGTTGGAAAGGCGTGGTTGGTTATGTATAAAACGGGCATTGGAGTAGGCCAATAGTGGAAGGGTCATTCCATGCACACGGTGGAGAGACTGTTAGCACACAATACGAGCACTGTCATGCTAAGTGCGGCATGCGTACCTCGGCGCGCGCGAAATGGAGAGCAAGCGCCGGCTCCAGCTTGATGGCGCGCACCACCAACTCGTAAGTTAAGCTCCACCTTCTCGGCGTGTCCGACACAAGATAGAGTACCCCATCACCACCCGCCCACCGCTACTCATCCTCGAACCTCTCGGTGCGCTGGGTGGACATGCCGATGAAGCTTGCAATGTCCCGCATCTTGCGCAGGGGCTCGGAGACCTCGGGGATGGCAGTGGCCGCGTGAACTGAGATGTTCCCGACGTGGCCAAGGCATCTATGTGGGGGGGCAGACGCCAAATGGGACGAAGGTTTTAGGGACTCGATGAAGACATGAGCACTGTTACCACCAGATACGAAATTGCAAGGTGCACACCTGACAAGAAAGACGCATGTGTGCAACCACTTGCCGGAAGTGCCGATCCTCCTTGAGGATGGGGTCGCGACCAAGGCCGGGGTCCTCGCCCATGAGGAGCCACATGGCCTTGGCATTATTCTCAGCATTATCGGTGGTGACGCCGAACAGGTGGGGTACGAGGCCCCACTAGGTCAAGACCCGCTCAAATGTCTCTGCTATCAGAAGCCCAGTGTGCGAGCCGTGCAGCTGCTCGAACTCCATCACCACCTGCCGCAGTTGGAAGTCACTGGTGATCCAGTGGCCAGTCAGCACCATGAACGCCTGGCTGGCCACACTCGTCCAGATGTCAGTGGTGAACAACATCTTCCCCGCCAACCCATCCCCCAACACAATCTGCTTCTGCAGCTCACGGACAGCATCACCCGTCGCACCCATGTCACGCGCCAGCGTCCACCACGAGGGGAGCATGGCCTCCGCCTGGGCATTCAGCAGCGCCGTGTAACGATGGAACTGCAGGCGGGATGTGTGCAGGGTGTAATACATGCCCAACACACGTAAGCGGGCGTTGATTTGTAAGCTGTTGCGTGGAGAGGCGGAGCACACGGACTATGCAAGGCCACCAACAGCGTGCACATCAATTGGAACTCCAAGCGAGGATAATGGTACCGCACGCAACGCATCTGAAGCACTCACCGCTGGCCGATCCACTAGGCGGTACGCCAAGTCAGCGTCGGCAAAAAGCTCAACAAGGGCTGCATGCAGACGGGCGGGAGAGACTCGGGCAGTGTAGAACTGGCGCATGTCCTGCTGCCCCCCCTCCACCGTCTCCCCCTGTGGCGCCTCCTCTCCAGGTGGGTACCCCGGCCAGTATGCGGCCCGCGGCCACTCCTCCCCGCTGTGAGGCACACCCGGATAACCATCTCAGGGAAACTCGAGATCAGGCGCCCTGTTTTCCACCATGTACAGCCGCTTCCAAATCTGATAATGCGGCATGTGCCAACGCTCCATGTGCCGCTTCCCGGCATTCGTGCTGCCATCAGCCCACCCAATGAACTTGCGGCACGCTCGACACTCGCGCTGTTCGTTGACCTTGTCCAAAGCCCCAAACATACCCCTCACTTCGCCGGGCCAGGACTTGTCGTCCGCCAAACGCGTGGTGCGTGCCTTTGCCGCCTTTCTCGCGTGTTTCTTTTGCCCCTGCCCTGTTCCTGCCTTGCCCCCTCCCTTTCCTGCAGCAGCGGTCGTGGGCGTGCCTACACCGCCCTCCATTGCTTCGTCAAGAGGGTTGCCCCCTCGCTGCCCATCACGCGGCGATCCTCCCCCCCCGCACGACCTTCTCCGTGCCCCGCGCCGCCCGTTCCACGCGGCTGACCGCGCGGAGGTGTGTGCCCTCCCCCATTGCCAGCCCCCCCCCTCCGCGACGCCTTCCCTGCCCTAGCGGTTTTGCCCTGCCCACCACCTCTGGGCCTCCTCCCATTCCCTTCTCCCCACCTACGCTGTTTTGGCCGGCCGTCGCCGGACTCCTCGGACAACTCCTCCCCACTGATGTGGTACTCTTCGTCATCATCTCCCGCCTGCCTTGAAACCCCGTGCTCTCCCATCTCCTCCTCCCCCCCTCCCTCCTCAGCCGTTCCTCGGTGGATGTGTGAGCCCAACGCAAAGCTCTGCTGCCCATCGGGCAGCGTCACCTGCTGGAGGGCCCCTCGCAACCCATAACTACTACCCCCTCCAGTGCTCGCCCCCGCGATCGTGATCTGACGCAGCGTGCCACCAAAATCGCCCATTGCCTTGATTCAAACGTGTCACCAACTTCGCCTAGCGCCTAGTGACACGCGGAACCTTCAGCTATGCAGAGTGTAATGTCAAAGTTAGGTTGAGATTGTTTGGCGAGTTATGCTGGTACTTTTCGAACAAGTCACAGTGGAGAAACGCGATTTGTAACGTGAGTAACGTGCCAAAGGCGAATCACAAAAACAGATCTGAGGGGCTCGGCGATTTTCAAAAGGGGGTACGTTTTCTAGGTTAGAGAGAACAGCGCGCTACTTTTCCTAGCCAAAAATCGTCCCGATAGAAAAATACGTCCGTAGATCTACCCTGAATTACAAGTAGCAGTTGTCTCTGGACTAAACCGACGGTGGTTGCCACGGATTGTAGGGTTAGGAGCCCCTGGACGCCTACATAGTTGGTCGAGACTCGTTTTCTGCTGTAAAAATGAGTCGCGATGGTCGAAATTTCGACTTCATTGCCGAAATTTTGACCCCGCGGTCAACCGAGCTGCGCGGCCCATGATACGGCCAGCACGTCGGACCGGGCCGGCCCGGCCTGACTTCGCGAACGTGGCCCGACGACGGGCCGGTCCGAACCGGTCCGGCAGCGTCAGCTCGTCGGACCGGTTCGGACCAGGCCGACATGCACAGCCACGCCGGGCCGGCGGGCCGGCCCGGATCGGCCCGACCGGGCTGGTACCCTTCGAAGTATTGGCCCGGTCCGGGAGATTTCCGGACCGGTCCGGCCCGGCCCAGCCCGTCCGGGCCTTTTGCTCATGCCTAGTAGAGACTGTGCTTTGAGATGTCCCACCAGCCTCTACGATGTTCACCCATGGTTCTCCTGATACTTGTCATTTCTTAATCGAACCCCAAAAAAAACCATGTTTCATTGTGCGGCTGCGAAGATTAGTTCAATCAAATGCCTGAAAGAAAATGACGTTACTGTGTGCTCCATCCATCCTCATGACGCCTATAGTATTCCTACGCTTGTTTGGCACATCCTTCCATTTCCATCTCCTACACCCCTACTCCACCACCCTGCCTCCCTTTTCCTTTGTTTTTCTAGTTTCATCTCACACATGAAATCACTTGACAACTGAAACATGTGGTGCTGCGATGAAGAGGTGGGAGATTCAGTAATACAAAGTGCTGCACATGTTGAGTGGGCAGCGGTGAGAGAACCATGATGCCCATCACGGTGATGCTATTATTCAACCATGAGGTGACGAACAATTACGCCTAGTTCGGGGAGGCAGCGGTAGGGGTCCCACGATGATATCACGGTGGTGGTGTTCTTCTTCAACCATGAGGCGTGCAACAAGCACGCCATGATGTGGAACCATATGAGTGATGGGGTGTTAGGCTATGGTTCGGTGCACATGTGTGTGTGGAGAGGGGTGGGAGGAGAGAGCGTGTAGCAGCGGGGGGAAGAGGGATAGGGGGGGTGGGTAAGGGGATGGGTGGCTCATACTCGCTTGTATGCATGTGTGGTTTCTTTGTGTGAGTGTTCCTGCGGGTGCATATGCGCACGATGCAAAGGTACAGATGGGTGAGCATCGTGATTCGTGCACTACTTTTGTAGTGTAGTCCATTAGTAGGCTCCCCTTTCACTTTGCTTTCCATCTGGCTTTTCCCTCTTCCATGTTTCCCTTCTTCCCGTGTACATCCCTTTTCCCTAATCATTCACCCTGTCGTCGTTCTTCATCTCGTCTCTCCCACTTTATATGACATCTCGTTTAAGGGAGGCAAGGATGAATCTTAATGCAGCGGCGGCTGCAGGTCTTACCTCGCCCTTTAAATAAGGAACCAATGAGGCGCGTATTGGAGTAAACCATGTGTTTAGGGTGTTCAAGATCTAGAGTTGGTGGAACCAAGAGTAAAAGTCAGCATAAGACTTTACACCTTGCAAGGGAAATCTCCTAAATAACAAGGATAATACTCTAGGAAGTACCTACTCGGAATGTACATGTTCGTAATGTATCGCGACTATCCGCGTGACATGACTAGTGAGTGTTCATGTGACTGAGAGTGGCGTGACCCTTCGGGTAACTATATGCGCGAACCTACTGTTCACACATCGACTTGCTACTGCTGACGTCATCATGCTCGTCCTTCCATATGAGGTATCGCGCTACTAGTAAAGTCTAAGTATTATATTAGGAATGCATAAATGGTAACTCTGTCGAGTATAATTCCCCTTCATTCCTGAGTGTATGTCTCTGGTTAAGTGTTGCCTCGTTTGCAGATCGTCCTAGGTTGGAGCAATACTGAAATTTGTCGTGTGGGAGTTTCTTCTCGAGAAAGTCAGCTGTCATTTCTTCTGTAGGGCAGTACTTCAGGACGACCTTCCCTTTGTCGATTTCTTCCTTGACAAAGAAGTAACGGAGGGTGATATGTTTTGTCATGTTGATGAAGCCGGGCTTGCTTGCAATCTTGATTGCACTTCGACTGTCGCAGAGCAACTTAATTTTCGAGTCATTGTGATTTTTGCCTCCTGAAGTAACTCTTGAAGATATAGTCTTTCACGAACTGCAGAGCTTGCTGCGATGAATTCCGCTTCGGCTAACGAAAGTGTGATAACCTCCTGTTTTGTTGAGTTCGAGTAAATGACACCACCCGGTTCAAGCTTGAAGATGAACCTTGTGTATGAACACATGTTGTCGGAGTTAGCAGTGTGATCTGCATCAACGTATCCTATCAGTCAAAAGTTCGCTACAGTATCTGTCGCGTAGCTTAGTCCAACTGTACGAGCTGAAATGAATATTGAAGGGCATGACAAAGATCGACCATATTTTCCCCTTCAAATCGGCGCAGGTGTATTATGCGAGCTGACTCGTGATGTAAGTAAGATATGAGCGGCAGGTAACGACTGCAAATAGGACACACCCGAGCTGCTATTGGTAGAGCTGATGCTCGAAGGTGGTATGTGGGGTAGTATTGGGTGTGTGGTATGAGAAAAGGAGTAGTGAGGCCGATGGGAGCGATAACGAACTTTTTCGCAAGTTTTTCGGCATACTTGCTCGCAAAGAGGTAGATGGCAGCAGGGCTGATGCCGACGTTTAGCCCAAGAAACAGAGTAACTTTGATGTCGTAGAGGGATTTTATTAACTTGAAGAATTGGAGTCCGTCACTGTGAGTATGAGGGAGTTCGACGAAAATACAGTATCTGCATCGACGTCTGCGTATAACAACACATCTTTAACGTCCAGCTGGCAAAGTGGTTGATGGTGATTGGCGGCAATCGCGAGAAGAATTCGAACTGAGTTATGGCGCCTGACCGGAGCAAAATTCTGGTCGTAGTCGATGCGGTGGGTTTGTTCAAAACCTCAAACAACCCATCTCCCCTTGAATCTGGCTGGTTTGCCTGCTGCTTTTGTCTTTATGCAGAAGACCCACTTGCCCGAAAGAATCTTTTTGTCGCGTAATGCTTCTCGTGGAACCAGTTTCAAAGTTTTCCGCTTCTCGAGGGCAACTACCTCTGCATCCATACAGAAGTTGCTCGCTACTTGGCTGCATCCGAGCTAGAGAGGGCATGCTTGACTGTTTTCGGCTCAATCCCGGCCGTTGGTTGCTAAACTGCGGCAGCCAGTCCAGGGATTTGAAGAGCCGATTGGTCATCTCGTGGATATGGTTGGCGAACTTCGACGACGTCATCATCGTTGGTTTTGGATGGAAGTTGGCGCGCACCGGCATGTGATGTTGCGTCGGTTTTCTGTCGGCACAGGTGCTCCTCATACAGTAATTGTAAGCAGCATGTGTCGTGGTAGGATGCAACTGGTCCAAGAGTGGAATGAAGAGCGGAGTTTCTGTGCCATAGGCACAAGCCTTTGGAATGTAGGAGTCGAAAAATGGTTCTTCACATGACAAAGGACCAGGTTCAGCTGCTGACATGTACGGTTGCGGAACTGTAGAAGGTCCTACTGCTTGTTCTGAGTGGTAGCAAAAACTCCTTTAGGCGCTGTAGCGATCAGGATCCCACTGCTGGCATTTCTTATCGCATTCGAAGTCATTGAGAAATAATTTATCGTAGAAGATGCAATCGCGGGCATACAAAACTTTTCGAGTTTTGTAATCCATGATTTTCTATGAGTGGGAATCCTTAGGTACTGTATACCGAGGTATATTCCCTATCGAGCCTGTTCAGTAAATCTGCCCATAGTTGCGCTCAGAGGTCGGTATTGGTCCAAACTCATAAAAGTCTAGTATCTGTGGGCTGCTTTGTCCACATGACATGCAGCGAATTGAATTGAGGTAGGGCTTTGAAGATAGACAGCTGTGCAGTCGGACAGCTTGCGCCATCACAAATGGCGAAAAGTCAGCTGTCAGGTTGGACTGCTGCAGAAGCTCGCACGTCTTCCCTTGCAGCATTCTGTTCATCTGCTCAGCTACTCTGTTTTGCTGATGGGCGTACGGCACTGTCTCGCGCTTGAGAATCCCTTTCCGCGCCAGAAACTCATCGAGCTACTCGCTAGTGTACTCCCCCGCGTTGTCTGCTTGTATCTCCTTCGGTGTGATGTTGCTCCGCTATTTTCAGTCATAGCTTGAAGGCATCAAGAGCTTTTGACTTATGAGATAAGTTCTTGTGCCAGGCATATCGAGTAGCACCGTTGATGAAGATAATTATATACTGTAACGGTAATTATTGCCTCTGATCTCCTCTGCTTCTTGTGATATAAAGAGGATGTCGCTGAATACGACGCCCATTGGTTAGTACTTAGATGCAATCGGGAAGTGCGATGGGTACAGAGCGTAACTCAGGTGAGCGCCCGGCAGATGGTGCAGGGTGACTAACGACTGCTAGGTCGAAGCTCTTGGCCGTTGGTTAAAAGGAGTGCGTCCTTGTTGGAAACCGAGGCTTTAATCGAGTTGTTGAGAGCTACTTGCAAGGGATGAGCTAACCGCTTGTGCCATGTTTCCTCCGTAGTCTTGTGCCCCTTTGAACGCGGGTACAATTCGGAGTGAAGGAAGATCGTTGGCGAAAGATGAATCGTTTGGGCCGGGGTTAACGCAGCAAACGGTGCTTAAAGGCTGGATGAACTTGGCTTCTTTTGCAGTTTCAGCCCAAGGGATGCCGAGATGTCGGCGACGCGCCCAAGCATCAGGTACGATTATCTCTTTCTTGCCCCAGCCACGTTTGACCTCCATAGGTTCTTCGACTGTAGCGGATGTAGATTTGTCGTTGACATAAACCCAGCAGCCATCTCCAGATGCCCAAGTTCCACGCCTTGTTTCTGCTTTTGCTGATGTTGCTTGTGTTTCCTTTGCTGCAGATTTGCAGAGGGAGTTTGCATGGGAAGACTGAGGCATGACGCAGAAGATGTTAAGTCCGTGATAATCTTGGCGTTGACGATCCATTCCCAACAATGATGCTACGGAATGAGTAAGACATTCTTCTCACTTTCGCCGGATGCTTTCGCAGTTGAGAATTGTGGAACTAAGATGTCGTCTTTTATTTCTGCGATGCCAATCAAGTTACCTTTGTCTTGTTTCTTGCCTCACACATACAGCTCCATGAGCATCGTGTTAGCGGTACCGATGAAACAGATGCCGCACTGCATCAGCTGCGCTTGTGATAGCATATTGAAGTCGAGCTCCATGACGACGAGAACCTTATTCAGGTGAAGTGAAACTCTAGTGTCGTCGGATTCTAGCAGCACATCTCTGATTGTTGTTGCTTCAATTGTCTGATTGTTGGCCACTGTAATGTTATATTTTTCTCCTTCTGGCAGGTCTCGCCAGTTACAAAGGTAGCGACTTGAAGACTCCATGTGATGACTGCAACAGCTGTCAAGAAATCACGTACTAACGTGCTCAGGACACTCGCGCTTGGCAATGTGGGCATACAGTTGCACGTTTAAATGTCCAGAATTGCTGGCTTTGGAGTTTGGGGACAGGGATGAAAGTTTGGCGGTAGGTTTTGAGGTCCTTCCTCCATGTCGCTGTCGCTGTCTCCATACAGTCATCGTCTCCACTAGCGAGTACCAGTATACCAATGAGATCTGATCATGCAATTGATAATCGCTTTGCCTTTTGCAAGTTGAGTTGAAGAAGCTTAAGGCGGGGAGACAGTCTTGACAGGGGCGGCTTCACCCAACTTCTCCCGATGCCTATTTTTCAGTTACTGACACTCTTCAACATGATGACATGCTCGTTTGCAGAGCTTGCAGAAGCCCTTGCCTTTTCTTGTCTGATCCCCTTGACTTCTTCCACCTTTTTTTTTCCCCCCTTGACTTGGTCCACCTCTATACAAGCTTAACCCACTCTCGGTCTTGCCTCCTTTTGCACTGTACAGGTCCAAGTCCTGCTGCTCTGTCATTAGAGTAGCACAAAGAGAAGTTTCTGAGATGTCCCCTTGGGAATAAAGAAGGGGATTGCATTGCCTCCATTCGAGTCCAAGTCCAGCCAGAGTTCATTGCTGAGATCTCATATGCACTTGCCGAGCTACTCCCGAAGATTTCTTCACCTGTTGATGTAGCTGCGGACTTTTTCTCCCGAAACATTTGCATTGCTGTACGTTGACATAACAGCTTACTCTGTGTAATGGAATCTTGTGTGCTTGATATAACCTTCACAAATAATTCCATGCATAGTAGGGTGAAGCAATCGAAGGTTTGAAACACCCAACTCCCAACTGCTCTTCAAGCGAGAGATTCCGCACGAGCAATGTGTAGGCCATAAGCGAATACTTGTAATAACGTGCTTGTTCTTCGGCCGTTCATGTTTCAATAAAATGGTTGGTACCATCAAAGTTTCTCCAGATACCCGAAGATTGCGCAAGGAGTTCGAACTTGAATCCCCAAGTATACAAGTCACGGCCATCAAAGTGAGTTGAGGTTTTCAGCTTGGAGATAGTTAGGAAATCCGCTTGGTTTACAACAGCTTGTGCAGCAGCAAACATACTTTCTTCTGCTGTCTGATGATGTTGCGACTGTTGTGGTTGTTGTTGTTATTGTTGTGCAGGTTGGTCATAGATCCAGCGGACTCATCTCCAGGGGCTGAAGGCCTAGCGGCAACAACAGCTCCTACATAACTAGAGTTATCATGGCTCATAGAGGTTGTAGGATGCGCTGGAGCTTGTTGTAATTGCTTAGTAGACTGATAAGCCATCACAGAAGCGATGTCAGATAGATTGTCAGAAAATATATGAGTTTCTTGTCTTATTAAGGATGTAATGATAGATCTCTAACTTCAGCTAATGGCGTCATCAAAATCAGCTTGTAACGGGTTCCTGGAACTCTACTTGCTCATAGTACCATATTGGAGTAAACCGCGTGTTTAGGGTGGTCAGGATCTAGAGTTGGTGGAACCATGAGTAAAAGTCAGCATAAGGCTTTACACCTTGCAAAGGAAATCTCTGAAATAACATCATAATAATTGGTAAAACATGTTTTTCCATGCTCTAAGAAGTACCTATTGTCAAACGTACTTCTTCCTAGTGACTTTTCGTGCGACTGAGAGTGGCGTGAACCTTCGGGTGCCTATACACGCCAACCTACTGTTCATGCATTGACTCGCTACCGCTGACGTCATCACGCGCATCATCCCATATTGTTGTGATAAAATCGTACTTAAGCATTTCTGTAAGTAGTTCCGATAGATATTGTCGAGTTACACTGTAGATAGCATCCGTAGAATGACGTCAGCAAATAGCGCTCGTCTGGATGGTTACGTCAACAAGCCGTTTCTGTTCAGATTATATTTTATATAATTATAGGCTTGGTAGTTGTGCTACTGCATCCTACTGTAGAGGGGATAACTCCCCTTCTTGTACTTGTTTCTCTTCTAGTTGATTTACCTTTTCTCTCGACATTCTCCTCGCCTTCCTCCTAGCTAAACCCCGCCGCCATAGTCATGGCGTCCTAGCTATCCTACCTTCACGACATGGTATCAGAGCAGGCCGCCCGTCCCGGGCCTGCTCACTACTCTTCTGCTGCGTATTCTCTGTTACTTCACCGCCTTCGCAACCTTCAGATTGCCTGCCGTCGTGGCACCTTCCCTGAGATGCCGCGGCGGCCTCTTGGTGGCGACGCCGTCGACGTCGGGCCGTCGCGGCGTGACAGCGCCGCCGTACTGACGTCGCGGCGTCGACGTCATGCCGCATCGACGTCACGTCGTGCAGCATCGACGCCGCTCGTTGACGGCGCCGTCGGGATGCAGCCGACCGTGCGACGTCGGTGACGCTCCCGCCGCCCACACGCCAGCCAGCGCCCTCTCCTCTACACCACCCTTTCTCCTTGCGTCCCCTCTCCCTCCTGCCGCAGCTGCTGTCTTCGGCTCGGTCATCGCCAGGTCGTGCCACACCGCCGAGAGCCCTCAGCCGCCGCAGTTGCCGCCTGTCTTCATCACCGCAGCCGCCTTGAGCACGAGCTCCGCCGCTGTCGTCATTGAGGCCGGCCAGATGCGGCCAGCTGCCTCTCGTCCGGGGGTGTCATCGCCTAGCATGAGGGGTCAATACCCGGCTGCTCACAAGAATGAGGGGGTCCGGGGTTAGGGGTTGTGTGTGTGGGTTGAGTGGGCTTGCCACTACCAAGCCTAGGGGGTGTGTTCAAATTATATTTTATATAATTATAGGCTTGGTAGTTGTGCTACTGCATCCTACTGTAGAGGGGATAACTCCCCTTCTTGTACCTGTTTCTCTTCTAGTTGATTTACCTTTTCTCTCGACATTCTCCTCGCCTTCCTCCTAGCTAAACCCCGCCGTTATAGTCATGGCGTCCTAGCTATCCTACCTTCACGACAGTTTCAGTCACGCGAATAGTCGCGCTCTTTTCAGTAGCGGTTAGAGAGCATAGCGCAAACAGCTTGAACAGGTACATCACCGAATACGTACTTCTAGCAGATATAAAAGTAGCTAATACAACTTCAATTGTTAACTTGTTCTTCAGTAAATTCTGGTCAACACTTTACAAGTTCTAAGACTTCCGCTGTCTTACTAGTCTACCATTCCAGCAAAGATCCTTGGTTAAGTCTTGAAGTATCGCAAGGTTGTAACACTCACTCTGGTGTTACAACTTGTTAATACTGGCTGAAACCGGTAGTACTTCCAGTATTACTTTCTACTTCAAGTACTTGTGTCTGCAGATTCTATACTTAGTCTCCTGCACCACTTTTCGAATTCTTTCACATATGAGGTATTGCGCTACTAGTACAGTCTACTTCACCAGCGCAAGCATGTCCTCCGCATCAGGCTTATTTGCCCGAACCACCTCATCCGTCGCAATGGTAGCTGGCAATGCCTGGACCGGACCTTCCCCACAGGGAAGCTTCAAGTCCGAAATGCTGTGGTAGTGGATAATAGAAGAAGTGGCGGACAGGGGAACTCGGTAGCTCCACTGTTATGCATCCGAAGTGCCAAGGATACTCATTAGTATATGGGGGCAGGTTGGGACGTAGGGCAATCACGACGTTGAAACCGAGGGACTTACGGCAAGTAGTTATTGGATAAGCAGGCCCAGAAATTAGTTATACTCCTCATATACCTTGGTGGCAAGATGCCACCCATACTGTTGCAGTGAAAGCACGTTTATGGAGTTCAGAAGTTGTCATATGGTAAATAAAGGTGGTCAGACTTGTACTTGCAAAGTGTTACAACAAACGTTTCCAATTGGGATTTAGCGGCTCGTCAGTTTCACTCCTTTGCCATTCGCGCTTCGTCAGTGCCTCGTGACATGTCATCAAGGGTAATTGCTGGAACCATTTTGGCCCGAGTCGTGGGTATTTTCCCCACGTCCACCTGACCCAAAGTTTTCGCCATGCCACATCAACTGCTAAACATGTTTCACTTCCCAGGCAGGTTCGTTTCCGGGGGTGACGGAAGGGGTCCACGCGAACATTTCGCTCGATGTTCGGTTTCGTACACTTCAGGACGAAAACTACGTTCTCTCTTCGAGGAAGAAGAAACCCCCTATATTGTCACCATCTCGGGTTGCAAATTCCCATTCGTTCACTAACGTCTCTGGAGTCTCGACTTGACAGCAATCCGTCCTCCATTCTCCCTCCCCTAAATTTGGAACTCCTTCCACCTCGTTTCCACCTCGTTTCCAGCTACCGTCGCCGTAAAAGCCGGACAAGAGCACCCCAGCTAGCCTTCCCACCCTTTCTTGGTGGGTGGCTCCGCAATCACTGCAAGATCCCTGACTCGCCTGGCCTGACTCGCCTGGCCTCCGCGTCGGTCCCTCTCAGCCACCACACTCTCGGTCCATCGCTGCCATTCAAAAGATAGCAACGTGTTCGGAAAAGCCGGGACTTGCGTCGAACACGAGACCTGAAACTTCTCCCGGCAGGCCTGACGGCGTGTGAGTGTTCACCCGGTAATCAGCCTCTTTACGGACCGTACGACCAGCTATTGCTCCATCGTAGTCCTTCAAAACGGTCTGACAGCGAGTTAATGCTGACCCAGTAAGCAGTTTGCTTACGGGCCGCAGTCGACCAGCTCGATCGACGCGTTTGTGCTCAGGTGGCCTCGTAGTAAGACTTTTTGCCGTTCTCGCTACTACAGATTGCACATCCACATCGTGGATGGGCGCGGTGGCAGCAAGATGCGACATCCGAGCTCCAGCACAATACGTAGTCAACGAGTCTAAGGACCGCGTGACCTTCCCGATACGATCGCGGGCACACAATTGTACTTCACCGAATATCGCAGACGCCGGCTGTGCTGCTGGTTTGGCCCTGGTGATTAATGTTTCAACCGATTAGTGGTACTACTCGGGGAGCGTATGGTACTCAGTTTCTGCCCTTGCCTTTCCGACGCGGCGTCGCTTAGTGGATTTTCTACTCGGATACAGTTTGAAGCCATGGGTGCGATACCGGATCAGCATGTATCGAAGCATCGTTCGGGCCGGCAGCAGAAGCGGCGGTTGAAGTCGTCGCTACGGCTAGCGCTGCTGCTGCTGGGGGTGTTCTCCGCCGCTTACGCTTGCTTCGTGCGGCCGCACTGCACGCCAGCTAGTCTGCCGCTGAGTAAAGAGGTGAGACGAGGGATGAGGGGATACAGATGGCTAGGCCGATGACGCGCAAGCGGCAAAGGCGGCGGCTGCTGCTGCTGGGGGTGTTCTCCGCCGCCTCTTATGCTTGTTTCGTACGGCCGCATTGCACGCTGGCTAGTATGCCGCTGAGTAGAGGTAAGGGGAATCAGGGAGGTACGTTTAACTGGATAGGGAGGTGAGAGAGTTCAAGCTTCGTCTGCTTGACGAGGCCTCGTGGTTGGTCGTGCGTCCGCGTCACACCCTGCTGTTTGATGTCGCTTCTTATCATCCCAGACACCTCTCACTCGATTCCGTCGCTTCCCCTCCCCTTCTCTCCCCTGGCACCTCCCCCTCCCCTTCTCCCCCCTGGCACCTCCCCCTCCCCTTCTCCCCCCGCACCTCCCCCTCCCCTTCTCCCCCCTGGCACCTCCCCCTCCCCTTCTCCCCCTGGCACCTCCCCCTCCCCTTCTCCCCCCTGGCACCTCCCCCTCCCCTTCTCCCCCCTGGCACCTCCCCCTCCCCTTCTCCCCCCGGCACCTCCCCCTCCCCTTCTCCCCCCGGCACCTCCCCCTCCCCTTCTCCCCCCGGCACCTCCCCCTCCCCTTCTTCCTCTCCTTCCAAATCCGCGTGTTCCCCTCCCCGCTGTCCACCAACAGGGGGAGGACGCGGGCTCGTTTGCTCCGAGCGGCTGCAGATGATCCGCGCAGCCGCCCCCGCCCCTCCTTTCCCCCCTTACCCCCACAACCCCCGTCCCTCCCCTCCCCAGCCCCGCCACTTCCCCCGCCTCGTCTTTATCACCGACCATTTTCTCGCTCTCCTTTCCCCGGTTTTAAACTCTATACTCCCCAATCTCTTTCCCCACTCCCTTCCCCCATCTCTTCCCCCCCTCTCTTCCCCCCCTCTCTTCCCCCCCTCTCTTCCCCCCCTCTCTTCCCCCGCCTTCATCGTCCCGCTCCCACAGGAGCTGGAGCTGCTGCAGATGATGCGGGGAGGGGGACGCGCAGTGGTGAAGGTGGTGGAGGGAAAAGGGGGCGGGGGAGGGGGCGGGGGAGGCGGAAGGGGGAGCGGGGAAGCAGAGGGCAGCCGAGAGGAGGGTTATTTCCTCGAAGGCGGGCGTGATGGGGATTGGGAGGAAGGGAGTGCGGGATACCTGGCGGATCACCCCGAGCTCATTCACGCGAGGCTGCAAAGTGTGAGCGCTCGCTGGTTGTGCTGGTTGTAGCGACTCAGCTGAAGCCCTACTCTGAAGCTTCTACCTCTGTGCACATGCGCGAACGCCACCAAGTGCAAGACACCTGAAGCTTGGGGCAGATTTGGGCGGATGTGCAGGTTCTGGTTGATGCTACTTGACAGAACCCATGCTTCCTGATGCCTGCTTTGATGCTCTCGAGTGTGGTCGAGCCGCCACTTCAAGATGCTACCTGCTGCCACGTGTTTGGATCTGCCGCGAGTTTTCTAAATTGCCACAGCCCCCACCACTTTGTTTCTGCCCGTGTGACGTCAGCAGCAAGAGGAAGAGGAGGAGCCTGTGGGGCTGTGGGAGAGCCCGCAGCAGGAGGAGTGGAGACAGTGCGACGCACCTTCCAGGAAATATCGCGGTGCGTTGAAGAGGGGAGCAGGGGTTGCTGTGTTGAGAGAGGAAGGAACGCGTGTGAGAGAGAGGGGTGAGAGAGAGGGGTGAGAGAGAGGGGTGAGAGAGAGGGGTGAGAGAGAGGGGTGAGAGAGAGGGGTGAGAGAGAGGGGTGAGAGAGAGGGGTGAGAGAGAGGGGTGAGAGAGAGGGGTGAGAGAGAGGGGTGAGAGAGAGGGGTGAGAGAGAGGGGTGAGAGAGAGGGGTGAGAGAGAGGGGTGAGAGAGAGGGGTGAGAGAGAGGGGTGAGAGAGAGGGGTGAGAGAGAGGGGTGAGAGAGAGGGGTGAGAGAGAGGGGTGAGAGAGAGGGGTGAGAGAGAGGGGTGAGAGAGAGGGGTGAGAGAGAGGGGTGAGAGAGAGGGGTGAGAGAGAGGGGTGAGAGAGAGGGGTGAGAGAGGGGTGAGAGAGAGGGGTGAGAGAGAGGGGTGAGAGAGAGGTGAGAGGGGAGAGACGGGAGAAGGGAAAGGAAGGCGGTGAGAAAGGTGGGGGCCATAGCGAGAGAGCGAAGAGGGGACAGAGGGCAGAGGGGGTATGGTTTTGAACTATGGATCCAACCTGCACTTCCACTTACCATTCACACGAGTGCCCTGTCTCCCTGTCTCCCCCCTCCAAGTATCAGAGGCGCCAGTACCGGAGTCCAACGGCTATTTGCAGGTGTTTCTGGATGGGGGGCTCAACCAGCAACGGATCAGTGTGAGTGCAACACCCATGTCAGCGTCCCCAGCTTTGTGGGCTTTGCAACCTAACAGTTCCGCTTGTAGTGGGTCCAGCCACCTTCTCAGCACCCCCTCAGCACCATTCAATGCCATCCTGTCACGAAGCACCCTCCTCCCATCTGCCACGTCCACCCTCTCCCTCCACATCACCAAGGGCGCAAAGCAGTGGCCGTGGCTAGCCTCCTCAGCGCCACTCTCATCGTCCTCGTTCTTTCCTCTGCTTCTGCCCTCCCCTCTCCCTCTCTCCATCCATCTCCTGCCACCTCTCCCTTCCGTCTCGTGCCACCAGGTGTGCAATGCGGTGACCGTGGCTCGTCTGCTCAACGCCACTCTCATTGTCCCCGAGTTCGCCACCAACCCCTTCTGGCAGGACACAAGGTGGGTGGCAGTCATAATGACAGGTGGGTGGCAGACAGAACAATAGGTGGGCGGCAGACAGAATGACAGGTGGGCGGCAGACAGGACAGCACGTGGAGTGGGCGGTGGGGGTTCTACATGTAGCATTGCCGCATCGGCATCATCAATTGAAGCGGAGGGTTTGAGGCACTTGTCTCCTCCCCGCCTCACATGTGGCACCAGTGCCTGTTGCACTATCTCCATCCACAACCCCCGTCTCTTCTTTTCCCTCTCCCCTCTCCCCCAACCCCCCCAACCCACCCTTCTCCTCCACCCTCACCACTCAAATCGCTGGCATAATCAGGGCGTGTTTCTACGCGACACGATGTCAGGCCACATTGTGTCATTTGGGATTTTGCCTGTCAATGTAGTTGTGACACGACGTAGCGTGACATTGTGTCACGTAGGAACACGCCCTCAATCTGCACCATTTCATCGCTTCCCTTAAATAAGGCATACGCATCGAGAGAAATCCGCTCCCCAACCCGGCACGGAGCACCAGCGCCTACTATGACTCCAACCCCTCCCACTCCTCCCTTAGCTCTTCCCCTCAAACACCCCCCCCCACCCCAGTCAATTTGCGGACACATCCGATCTCGACCATTTTATAGTGTCCCTTTGCAATGACGTCCGCGTCGATCGCCAGCCGCCCCCCCACCTGGCATGGAGCACCAGCGCAGCGCGTATTGGTCATGCCCCCCACCAGCCAGCCTCCAGCCCCTCACTTCCCTCCTCCACCACTCCTCCTGTTCATCTTCCCCTCTCTCCCCCCACACTCCAGTCAATTTGCCCACATATTCCATCTGGAGCATTCCTAGCCTTCTTCCGAGGTGACATCCGAATCGAACATCGTCTGCCCCCGCGCCTATTATGCCGCTGACCTCTTTCTCTCCTTCCTCTCCCTCCCCATCCCCTCCCCACGCACCAGTCAATTCGCGGACATATTCGACGTGGACCATTTCATCTCCTCTCTTCACAAAGACGTCCGCATAGAGAGAAGCCTGCCACCCCACCTGGCGTGGAGCACCAGCGCCTACTACGCCTCCAGCCTCTCCCGGCGCAACAAGCTCGTCCGCTCTGCTCCCCTGCACGCCACCAAGAAGTGGTACCTGAAGCGCGTGCTGCCCCGACTCAAGCAGTGAGTGGCGTTGCGTCAGTTTTCATCAGAACACGCCATGCCGACAGCCTTTCCCACTGCACCAACCTGATATGGTGTGCTTCTAGTGCCCATTGCACCAACCTGATAAGGTTTGCTTCTAGTGCCCGTTGCACCAACCTGATAAGGTTTGCTTCTAGTGCCCGTTGCACCAACCTGATATGGTTTGCTTCTAGTGCCCGTTGCACCTACCTGCCGCACCTACCTGCTGCACCTACCTGCCACACCTACCTGCCGCACCTACCTGCCGCACCTACCTGCCGCACCTACCTGCCGCGCCTACCTGCCGCACCTACCTGGCGCGCCTACCTGCCGCACCTACCTGCCGCACCTACCTGCCGCGCCTACCTGCCGCACCTAGCTGCCGCGCCTAGCTGCCGCGCCTACCTGCCGCGCCTACCTGCCGCGCCTACCTGCACCCACAAAATGCCGAGTCATCCACAAAGTGTCGTCACCGACAGAAATGGAGTCACCTTGAACACACACCTGCCTGTCCTACCGCAGCCCTACTTGTCCACCACAGCCCCATCTTCCGCATACCCGTACCCACTCGCTCTCACCTCAAACCCACCCACCCACACTCGCTTTCTCCCTCACTCACTCGCTTTCTCCCTCACTCACCCACTTTCTCCCTCACTCACCCACTTTCTCCCTCACTCACCCACTTTCTCCCTCACTCAAACCACTTTCTCCCTCACTCACCCACTTTCTCCCTCACTCACCCACTTTCTCCCTCACTCACCCACTTTCTCCCTCATTCACCCACTTTCTCCCTCACTCACCCACTTTCTCCCTCACTCAAACCACTTTCTCCCTCACTCACCCACTTTCTCCCTCACTCACCCACTTTCTCCCTCACTCACCCACTTTCTCCCTCACTCACCCACTTTCTCCCTCACTCACCCACTTTCTCCCTCACTCACCCACTTTCTCCCTCACTCACCCACTTTCTCCCTCACTCACCCACTTTCTCCCTCACTCACCCACTTTCTCCCTCACTCACCCACTTTCTCCCTCACTCACCCACTTTCTCCCTCACTCACCCACTTTCTCCCTCACTCACCCACTTTCTCCCTCACTCACCCACTTTCTCCCTCACTCACCCACTTTCTCCCTCACTCACCCACTTTCTCCCTCACTCACCCACTTTCTCCCTCACTCAAACCACTTTCTCCCTCACTCACCCACTTTCTCCCTCACTCACCCACTTTCTCCCTCACTCACCCACTTTCTCCCTCACTCACCCACTTTCTCCCTCACTCAAACCACTTTTTCCCTCACTCAACCACTTTCTCCCTCACTCACCCACTTTCTCCCTCACTCACCCACTTTCTCCCTCACTCACCCCACTTTCTCCCTCACTCAAACCACTTTCTCCCTCACTCACCCACTTTCTCCCTCACTCACCCACTTTCTCCCTCACTCACCCACTTTCTCCCTCACTCACCCACTTTCTCCCTCACTCACGCAGTTTCTCCCTCACTCAAACCACTTTCTCCCTCACTCAACCACTTTCTCCCTCACGCACCCACTTTCTCCCTCACTCACCCACTTTCTCCCTCACTCACCCACTTTCTCCCTCACTCACCCAGTTTCTCCCTCACTCAAACCAGTTTCTCCCTCACTCAACCACTTTCTCCCTCACTCACCCACTTTCTCCCTCACTCACCCACTTTCTCCCTCACTCACCCACTTTCTCCCTCACTCAAACCACTTTCACCCTCACTCACCCACTTTCTCCCTCACTCACCCACTTTCTCCCTCACTCACCCACTTTCTCCCTCACTCACCCACTTTCTCCCTCACTCACCCACTTTCTCCCTCACTCACCCACTTTCTCCCTCACTCAAACCACTTTCACCCTCACTCACCCACTTTCTCCCTCACTCACCCACTTTCTCCCTCACTCACCCACTTTCTCCCTCACTCACCCACTTTCTCCCTCACTCACCCACTTTCTCCCTCACTCACCCACTTTCTCCCTCACTCACCCACTTTCTCCCTCACTCACCCACTTTCTCCCTCACTCACCCACTTTCTCCCTCACTCAACCACTTTCTCCCTCACTCACCCACTTTCTCCCTCACTCACCCACTTTCTCCCTCACTCACCCACTTTCTCCCTCACTCACCCACTTTCTCCCTCCACCTTCACTCAAACCACTTTTTCCCTCACTCAACCACTTTCTCCCTCACTCACCCACTTTCTCCCTCACTCACCCACTTTCTCCCTCACTCACCCACTTTCTCCCTCACTCAAACCACTTTCTCCCTCACTCACCCACTTTCTCCCTCACTCACCCACTTTCTCCCTCACTCACCCACTTTCTCCCTCACTCACCCACTTTCTCCCTCACTCACGCAGTTTCTCCCTCACTCAAACCACTTTCTCCCTCACTCAACCACTTTCTCCCTCACGCACCCACTTTCTCCCTCACTCACCCACTTTCTCCCTCACTCACCCACTTTCTCCCTCACTCACCCAGTTTCTCCCTCACTCAAACCAGTTTCTCCCTCACTCAACCACTTTCTCCCTCACTCACCCACTTTCTCCCTCACTCACCCACTTTCTCCCTCACTCACCCACTTTCTCCCTCACTCAAACCACTTTCACCCTCACTCACCCACTTTCTCCCTCACTCACCCACTTTCTCCCTCACTCACCCACTTTCTCCCTCACTCACCCACTTTCTCCCTCACTCACCCACTTTCTCCCTCACTCACCCACTTTCTCCCTCACTCACCCACTTTCTCCCTCACTCAAACCACTTTCACCCTCACTCACCCACTTTCTCCCTCACTCACCCACTTTCTCCCTCACTCAAACCACTTTCTCCCTCACTCACCCACTTTCTCCCTCACTCACCCACTTTCTCCCTCACTCACCCACTTTCTCCCTCACTCACCCACTTTCTCCCTCACTCACTCACCCTCACTCACCCACTTTCTCCCTCACTCACCCACTTTCTCCCTCACTCAAACCACTTTCTCCCTCACTCACCCACTTTCTCCCTCACTCACCCACTTTCTCCCTCACTCACCCACTTTCTCCCTCACTCACCCACTTTCTCCCTCACTCAAACCACTTTTTCCCTCACTCAACCACTTTCTCCCTCACTCACCCACTTTCTCCCTCACTCACCCACTTTCTCCCTCACTCACCCACTTTCTCCCTCACTCAAACCACTTTCTCCCTCACTCACCCACTTTCTCCCTCACTCACCCACTTTCTCCCTCACTCACCCACTTTCTCCCTCACTCACCCACTTTCTCCCTCACTCACGCAGTTTCTCCCTCACTCAAACCACTTTCTCCCTCACTCAACCACTTTCTCCCTCACGCACCCACTTTCTCCCTCACTCACCCACTTTCTCCCTCACTCACCCACTTTCTCCCTCACTCACCCAGTTTCTCCCTCACTCAAACCAGTTTCTCCCTCACTCAACCACTTTCTCCCTCACTCACCCACTTTCTCCCTCACTCACCCACTTTCTCCCTCACTCACCCACTTTCTCCCTCACTCACCCACTTTCTCCCTCACTCAAACCACTTTTTCCCTCACTCAACCACTTTCTCCCTCACTCACCCACTTTCTCCCTCACTCACCCACTTTCTCCCTCACTCACCCACTTTCTCCCTCACTCAAACCACTTTCTCCCTCACTCACCCACTTTCTCCCTCACTCACCCACTTTCTCCCTCACTCACCCACTTTCTCCCTCACTCACCCACTTTCTCCCTCACTCACGCAGTTTCTCCCTCACTCAAACCACTTTCTCCCTCACTCAACCACTTTCTCCCTCACGCACCCACTTTCTCCCTCACTCACCCACTTTCTCCCTCACTCACCCACTTTCTCCCTCACTCACCCAGTTTCTCCCTCACTCAAACCAGTTTCTCCCTCACTCAACCACTTTCTCCCTCACTCACCCACTTTCTCCCTCACTCACCCACTTTCTCCCTCACTCACCCACTTTCTCCCTCACTCAAACCACTTTCACCCTCACTCACCCACTTTCTCCCTCACTCACCCACTTTCTCCCTCACTCACCCACTTTCTCCCTCACTCACCCACTTTCTCCCTCACTCACCCACTTTCTCCCTCACTCACCCACTTTCTCCCTCACTCAAACCACTTTCACCCTCACTCACCCACTTTCTCCCTCACTCACCCACTTTCTCCCTCACTCACCCACTTTCTCCCTCACTCACCCACTTTCTCCCTCACTCACCCACTTTCTCCCTCACTCACCCACTTTCTCCCTCACTCACCCACTTTCTCCCTCACTCACCCACTTTCTCCCTCACTCACCCACTTTCTCCCTCACTCACCCACTTTCTCCCTCACTCACCCACTTTCTCCCTCACTCAAACCAGTTTCTCCCTCACTCACCCACTTTCTCCCTCACTCACCCACTTTCTCCCTCACTCACCCACTTTCTCCCTCACTCACCCACTTTCTCCCTCACTCACCCACTTTCTCCCTCACTCACCCACTTTCTCCCTCACTCACCCACTTTCTCCCTCACTCACCCACTTTCTCCCTCACTCAAACCACTTTCTCCCTCACTCACCCACTTTCTCCCTCACTCACCCACTTTCTCCCTCACTCACCCACTTTCTCCCTCACTCACCCACTTTCTCCCTCACTCACTCACCCTCACTCACCCACTTTCTCCCTCACTCACCCACTTTCTCCCTCACTCAAACCACTTTCTCCCTCACTCACCCACTTTCTCCCTCACTCACCCACTTTCTCCCTCACTCACCCACTTTCTCCCTCACTCACTCACCCTCACTCACCCACTTTCTCCCTCACTCACCCACTTTCTCCCTCACTCAAACCACTTTCTCCCTCACTCACCCACTTTCTCCCTCACTCACCCACTTTCTCCCTCACTCAAACCACTTTCTCCCTCACTCACCCACTTTCTCCCTCACTCACCCACTTTCTCCCTCACTCACCCACTTTCTCCCTCACTCACCCACTTTCTCCCTCACTCAAACCACTTTTTCCCTCACTCAACCACTTTCTCCCTCACTCACCCACTTTCTCCCTCACTCACCCACTTTCTCCCTCACTCACCCACTTTCTCCCTCACTCAAACCACTTTCTCCCTCACTCACCCACTTTCTTCCTCACTCACCCACTTTCTCCCTCACTCACCCACTTTCTCCCTCACTCACCCACTTTCTCCCTCACTCACCCACTTTCTCCCTCACTCACCCACTTTCTCCCTCACTCAAACCACTTTCTCCCTCACTCACCCACTTTCTCCCTCACTCACCCACTTTCTCCCTCACTCACCCACTTTCTCCCTCACTCACCCACTTTCTCCCTCTCACCCTCCTCGCCAAAACCCCCAACACAGGCGGGGCATAGTGGCACTGACATCCTTCTCGCACCGCCTTGCATTCACAGGACTGCCCCTCCTCTCCCTTCCCTCCTCGCCAACCCCTCTCTCTGTCGCACTCCTTGCGAAACCCCACCCTCAACACAGGCGGGGCACCGTGGCACTGACGTCCTTTCATCTCACACTTCTCCGCTGTCACTTCCCGCCCCTCCTCGCCAACCACCGCACCCCCACAGGCGGGGCATTGTGGCGATGACTCCCTGCTTGCACCGCCTGGCAATCATGGGACTGCCCCTCCTCTCCCTTTCCCCATCGCGAACACCCCGCTCTGTTCCACGCTTCTTGCCACCCCCCTCCTCAATACGGGCGGTGGCAATGACTTCCTTCTCGCACCGCCTGGTATTTCACGGGAGAGAAACTTTCTTCCCTTCCCTCCTCGCCAACCCCTTTCTCTGTCACACTCCTTGCCACCCCCCCACAAACACAGGAGAGGCATTGTGGCGATGACGTCCTTCTCGCACCGCCTGGCATTCACGGGCCTCCCCAAGGAGATCCAACGGCTGAGATGCCGTGTCAACTTCCACGCGCTGCGATTCGTGCAGCCGATCAGGGAGCTGGGGTGAGTTCCTTTGGTGGCCAGCCGTGGGGTTTTGTAGCCAGCTCAAGGGCCATGCGAGCTTGTTCGAGTTGCCTTGGAAAAGGATGAGGGCTCAGGGGCAATGCACTGTCTGCTCGCCTTCCCCCCTGTCTCCCTCTCTCCTTTCTCCCTTCCCTTCACCTGCCCTGTTGTCTCCGTTTTTCTTTGCCCCATCGTCCCCCCCCCACAGCCAAAAGCTAGTGCGGCGATTACAGGATCCCTCCCTGCGGCCCACCCACAGGGGAGTGCTCTACTCCCCGTCTGTCAACATGAGTGCCTTTGGGATGGAGGATGGGGGGATGGAGAGAGACGGAAGGGAGGAGGCAAGAGGGGAGACGGAAGAGGGTGTGGAGGGGAGGAGGGGGGGGAAGGTGGTAGGGGAGAGTGTGGCGGTGCGGGGGAGGAAAGAGGAGGGAGAAAGAGGAGAGGGGGGGGAGGAGAGGGGAAGGAAAGTGGTGAGAAGGATTAGGGTTGAGCTGGTAGGGGATGGGGGCGAGGGAGAGGGGATGGGGGGAGAGGAAGGAGGAGGTATGAGTGAGGGTGAAAGAGGGGAGGAGGAAGAAGGGGAGGGGCTTGTGGAGATGGGAGGGGAGAGGGTGGGAGAGGGGGTGAGGGAAGGGGGCAATGGGGAGGGGTTGGAAGAGCTGCTGTGGTGGGAGGAGAGGGAGAAAGGGAGTGAGGAGGAGGTGAAGGAGGGTTCAAAGGCGGCTCAAGTGAGCGAGGAGGAGGGGGGAAATGGCAGCAGTAGTTGGGAGGGGGAGCTTGAAGGGCACGGGGAGGGGGAGGGGGAGTGGGAGGGGGAGGCGGAGGAAGGGGGTGGGGAATCAGCAGAGGATGGGAGGGACTCATTGTGGGAAGATGCGGAAAGTGAGGATGAGGACGCCAGGAGCGGCGATAGAGGGAGGGAGGGTGCGGGGATTGCGGGTAAGACAAGTGAGGGTGAGGGTGAGGGTAATGAGGAGGGAATACTGGTGGGGGGCTACAGGCGACGCCGGTTGCTGGAGCAGCGGGAGGTAGGGGAGGAGCAGCAGCAGCAGCATGGGAACAAGAAGGGTGGGGGGGGAGAAGGGGCTGAAGGGTGGTGGAACGGAGAAGGGGAGAGGCCGGGAGGTGGGAAAGCTGAGGAAGAGGGGAGGTTGGGGGGGGAGGATAGTGCGAGAGTGGGAGAGAGTGTGGGGGGTGAGGGAGGTGGGGTTACCGCAACGACAGGAGGAATGAAGAAAGGGGAGGGAAGAGGACTCGACGACATCATTGCTCCTTGGGGTGGCTTGGGGAGAGAAACAGGCACGCGTGCACTGCAGGGAGGACAAGGAGAGGAGGGGGAGGAGGAGGGGGAGGAGGGGGAGGACGGGGGACAGGGGGTGAAAGGAAGCGCGTGGGGATGGGATGGTGTGAAGGATCGAGTGAGGGAGCTGAGGCGGCTGAGGCTGAGGATAGAGCAGCAAGTAAGGGCGAGGATGGAGCGGTGGGAGGAGGGCATGAGACTGGCGAGGATAGGGGCCACGTGGGGCGAGTGGAACCACATGCGGAGGATGAGGGGGGAGGCCAGGGAGGGGAGGGAGGGGAACAAGGGGAGTGAAGGGAGGGAAGGGGCAGAGGTGGAGGGAGATTGGAGGAGGAGTGTGGAGATCAGGCGGGGGAGGAGGAGGGGAGGCGTCTGGTGGGTGGCAGAGGGGGTGAGGGCAGCATGGGCGGTGATGCGGGGGTGGAGTGTGCGAATAGGGAGGGATGGGGGGGTGGAGGATGGGAGGGTGGGGAGGCAGGAGGTGGTGGAGGGTGGGCGGCGGAGGCGGAGGTTCCTCGCGTTGCACTTGAGATTCGATCTGGTGCGTTATTCTGCCAGGAGTATTGGTTGAAAGTCACAGGCATTCATTTTTTTTTATTTTTTTTTCTGAATCGGGAGCAGCACATGCCTGCCGGTGGTCGTGCAGGCACGCCAATAACCACAGGTGCCAGGACGTGGTGGCGCATTCAGTCTGCGGCGATGGTGAGGCGTGGGAGGAGCAGGAGCAGGGCTGCATGGTGTGCTCTGCTCGCCTCATCCTCCCCACCTCCTCTCCTCCCGATCCCCCCCTTCCTCTCCTCCCCCCTTCAACAGGACATGGTGGCGCACTCAGCATGCGACTACGGCGAGGCGCAGGAGGAGCAGGAGCAGAACAGAAAGGGTTGTCCACCTTCTGTTTCCTCAACCTCCACTCGCCCCATCCCCCACCCCCTTTTGGCAGGACATGGTGGCGCACTCAGCGTGTGACTACGGCGAGGCGTGGGAGGAGCAGGAGCAGCTGCGGCGGTACCGCGAGTACGCGTGGGGGGGGCGGGTGGCGAACCTGCAGCACTCCCCGCAGCACCTGAGGGCGGCGGGCAAGTGCCCCCTCACTCCAGAGGAGGTGGGGCTGCTGCTGGCGGCGCTGGGGTTCTCAAGAGCCACGAGACTATATGTGGCGACCTACCAGGTACGTTGGGTAGAATCGAGGTGACTCGCAGGGACCTATCAGGTCCTTTGGTTTGATTTGATTTGATGTGATTCGCCCTGGTGTGGTACAGCATGAGTTGATTCAGCGCGGCACCTGAGGGCGGCTGGCAAGTGCCCCCTCACGCCCGAGGAGGTGGGATTTCTGCGGGCGGTTCTGGGGTTCTGCAGAGACGCCCAGCTTTACGTGGCGACCCGCCAGGTGAGGCTTGGTGTGACGACTCCGTGGCACCGTGGTATGCACTCGATCAGTTGGCTGCGAATCAACAGGGGCGGCAGGCACGAGCCCCCTGTCGCTCGTGGAAGGAGGGCTGCTGCTGGGGGCGCTGGGATGCTGAAGACACGCGTGGCTGAAGTATATGGGGCGACCGATCCGGTATGGTATGGTGTTGGCATGCGGAATGATGTGATATGTGACGGACAGTGGGATCCAGTGTGTGTGAGAGTGACGTACAGTGCAGAGTCCATAGTTGAATGAATGTAGCGAGTGGAAGTCGCTGGGTGCACATGCAGTGATGGGAGTGAGTGAGACGGGGCACAGTGCACGGGCAAGATGACACAGCGCAAGATGACACATTGCACGGGCAAGATGACACATTGCACAGGCAAGATGACACAGTGCACGGGCAAGATGCCACAGTGCACGGGCATGATGACACAGCGCAAGATGACACATTGCACGGGCAAGATGACACAGCCAGCACTAACTCCACCAGGTCTCAATCTCCAATTATCGATAACCTCCAACCCCCTTTCAACATCCAACCCCGTATCAGTCCCCTTTCTATCCCCAACCCCCATCCAGGTGTACGGAGGAGCCAGTCGCATGGCAGCGCTGCGCCGCCTCTTCCCCAACCTGGAGGATAAGACGTCGCTTGCCACCCAGGAGGAGCTGAGGCCGTTCCTTGGGCGGGCGTCCATGTTGGCGGCGCTGGACTTCTACGTCAGCATGCACAGTGATGTGTTTGTGTCGACGTCACAAGGCAACATGCATAATGTCATGGTGAGTCACGCAGTGATGTATGCCGGGTGCATCATTTTGTAAAGTGAGTGCATAACAGTATATTCTGTGTGGATAATATTATTGAGGGGATAATATTATGGTGTGTCATTATGTTGAAGTGAATGCACAATGTTGCAGTGGAGCATAACACCATAATGAGTCATAACGCTGTGGCAAGTAAATACTTGTGCAAGGAGTGCATGCTGTTATGGTGCTGACGGCGTCTGAGCTGATGTATAATTATACAATGAGTGCATGGCACAGCCTGAGTGCATTGATTATGTTGCCATGGAATGCATAGTGTTGTGGCTAGCGAGTGTACAATCGTGTGGTGAGTGAGTGCACTTGATCATCTGAATCGTCAACTTCACGTGTCTTGCCTTGCACGTTGCTGAATCTGGCTACGTAGTTGTCATATGATAATCATACGTGTGAGAAACAAAGATTCCTCAGCTACATAATGGTCACTGCACGTTGAAATCACTCTTGTGTCCTACAGGCCGGGTACCGAGCGTACTTCGGAGGCCACAAGACCATCAAACTGAACGCCCCTCTCCTAGCCTCTCTCCTTCAAACGCCGAACCTAACATGGCCGGACTTCACACGGGCTGTGCAAACGGGCCATGAGGCCAGGCTTGGGCAAATCAAGGCTCGAAGAGTCGACCAATCACTTTACACGTATCCGGCTCCTGAATGCTTGTGTAAGGTGGAGGAGGGAGAGGGACAGAGAGGGGATAGGAGAGGGGGGCTGTTGGAATGGTGGTATGGAAAGCAAAATAGGAAGAAGGGGAAAGGCCAGGCCCAAGAGCTTCACCCTCCATCGTGATTGACTGAACAGCAAAAAACTTGAGTTGGCACGAATATACGAAGTGAGTAAAACGCCATCTGCGTTACGCCGTTTTGAAACATGATATGCCCTACGTCTGATTGCTTGAGCTTTTACACCACTTAGAAGTTCAGCTCTAGTGGAGCTTCTACACTTCGGGAAAGTCCCAAATTTTATCCCCTTTTTTTTTGTTTCGAGTCCAGCCAGACGAGCACGAACATCGAAGGTGCTCTGGAACGACCTCGAAACTTCCGGTCGCATTCTGGTTGCGTGCGATGCACTGCGATGTCGTCCAGTCAGCTGATACTCACACGCTTGGAGCTATGCGATGCATCTGCGACCGAAACGAGTCACATGCGACTGAAACGTCTTCCTTACGACTGGAGTGATACAGTGCACATTGCGACACGAGTTGTCGGTGTTGTCGACAGCCAACAGCTCCCAATAATCTCAACGAAGCGCACTTCACGGCGTTCTACACCACTCTGCATCTGCCGTGTGGCAGAAGATACTCCCAGTCGTGGTGCCTCCGACATTCGATTATGGCGCGGTCAATTTAGCAGGCGCGATTCGGACCCAAATTTAGAAAAGCGCGACTCGACCAGATTTTCCTTCCCCAGCACCACACCCGATTTCTGTGAATTTGGGTCGAGCCCGCCCCATCATTTCGTTTCACCCCACCCACCGCACTGCAGTGCATCGAGCCAAATCCAAAATCAGCGCACACATCCATCTCGCACGCACGGCCCTCGTTGTGCGTTGCTCGTCTTGCTCCATTCCAGTCCTCTTGACTGACTCCGTTCCTGACATTGGGGCGATTCAGCGCCCCTTTGGCCTCTCTTCCTCACCTACCTTACTAGCTTGCGCCCATGCGTTGTCGCGCCGCGGGGCGTCTTACTGTACTGTACTCGGTTCAGCGTCAGCTTCTTGGCTGGCAACCGTAACTGGCGCGTCAGCTTCGCATCAGCCCCCCCAGTCCAGCGAGGCACACCTTCGTTCCCCCCACGCACGACTGTCGGCGTTATAAAGCCAAACCATCTCGGTTCACCCCTCCACAATGTCCCTTCTCTACAACTCCTCAACAACTAGCTCTTGTTCGTGTGCAGTCGGAGCGACTTACTTGAGACATAGGGCCGACCATTCCCCCCCTTTTTCGAGATCATTAGCCATCTGAACTTCTCGCCCCTTTTTAGTAGCTTCCTAGACGTAGGAGCCTCACAAAGAACGGAACGGCACACAGCCGATGGCCATGCAGGGCTCGGGTCCTTGTGGCGCGGTAGACCCCATGGCGACAGCACCGACGGCAAAGCCACAGTTCTACCGACCAGTCGACGAGAGCGCCGTTTCGTTTCAAACGCACCAACAGTTAGTGGCGGGCCACCAGCAGGTAGCGCCCCCCTACCACACAGCATCAGATACAGCACACTACCACGTCCAGCCGAATACGTGTTTCCAGCAGCCGCTGCCGCAGCCCCATTCCGTAGTTAGCTCCTCGCCGCTTCCCCCGCTTCCGCCGTTCTCCCCGCAGCCACACATCACCCCGCCCACTCCGCCGCAGCCGCCGCGCCCCTACTGCTTCGCGCAGACGCCGTCCCCCGCCCCGCGCCTGGGCTCTCCCGCGCACTCGTTCCTCCCGCAAAGCGCGCTCCACTTCCCGAGCGCGCTGCTCCCGCAGAACGCGCTGCTCTCGCGCTTCTCCCCCGCGCCCCCGCCGCCCGCCAGCCCACAACCGTTCCGCGCGCCTTTCGACTCAACGCAGCAGTCGCCGCAGCCCTTTCGCTCGGGGCTGGACTCGGCGCAGCAGTCGCCACAGCCGTTCCTCGTGGCGGGCCGCGTGCAGCAGACGCTCCAAGAGATGATGAGCGGCGAGTGCGCTCGCCTCGACTCAACGGTCACCGCCCTGAGTCTCCATGAAAGCGATGGTGCAGGCGCGGCCGTCACGCCGCAGCTTGCGCCGCAGGGCGCGCCGATGGCGGGGCTCGCGGGCGCGATGACCCCGGTGCTGCTGCCGGCTTCCGCCATTGGCGCAAGTGCAGGCGCAACTGTTTGCGGAGGTCTTGGCGGAAGGAAGAGCCCCAAGAAGGGGCGGGGTGCAGAGCAGGCGGAGGCACCAGCGCAGCGGAAGCGCAAGGCAAAGGCGGCGGGAAACCAACCGCCACCTCCCCCGATAGGCGTAGATGGCTCCCCAGTGCCTGCGTACCGTGGCGTGCGGTACCGCCCGTGGGGGCGATGGGCGGCGGAAATCCGGGACGCGGCGGGGAAGGGGCGCGTGTGGCTGGGGACTTTCGACTCCCCGGAAGCTGCGGCGCGCGCGTACGATGCGGCTGCGCGGGAGATTCGAGGCGCCAAGGCGCTGCTGAACTTCCCCGATGACGTGGAGGAATCGAAGGCGGACACGTGTCAGGCTAAAAGCACGGGGGCAGAGGCTGGGTTAGCGGAGGCGGGAGGGGAGGCGGGAGGGGAGGCGGGAGGGGTGGCGGAAGATGAGTTAATGGCAGAAAGGGAGGAGGAGGAGAAGGCGAGGAGCGACGAGGAGGAGGTTGAAGGGGACGGGGAGGCGGAAGGAACGAGGGCGCAGAAGCGGCCGAAGACGAACCAGGAGGCCGCGCAACACGACCAAGGGGCACGAGAGCATACGCCGCAGCCCACCGCACAACACACGGCGCAGCAGGGACCCCGCGGCGCAGCACACGGCAGTCCCAGGGGCGGACCGGCTCCCGTTGACCTGCTGTGCTCCGAGCCGTCCCTTGTGCCGCCTGAACCACGCGCGGTGACGTCAGCACTGCCGTCTCCGCCTGCGCACGCCTTTGAAGCTGTAGCTGCCGCTACGACTGCTACATCAACTGCTGCGATTGGAAACGTGACAGCTACAGCGATACGAGCGGAGGAGCGAGCCCCAGTGATCGCAGCTCTGCCCACCACCCCTGCTGCTGCTACAGCCGTCACAGCTGTTGCTACAGCCGCAGGGGTTGTGGCCAGTGGTGCCCACTTGCATGGGGCCGCATCCGTACCCGCTATAAACACCTGTGTTGGAGTCACACAAGGAAACAGTACGCACCTTCCAGTAAATACATCTGGAATGTTTTTCCCGGTTCCAGGGTCTGCACCTGAGGCTCTGGTGCTGCCTGCCAGTGGCTCTGGTTTTGTGGCTGCTGGTGCTGCTGGCACCACTGGTGCTACTGGCGTTTCAGGCATGAGCAGCGGCACCATGGGCAGCGCTGCTTGCGCTATTCTTGGCAGTGAGGCCGTCGTCGTTGAGAGGCAGATGACCCCTGCCCAGCAGATGGGGCAGATGAACCCTGCCCAGCAGATGGGGCATGTGCCACAGATTCAGCAGGTGCAGCAGACAATTCCACCACAGCAGCCATTGCAACCACCGATGCAGCAGCAGCAGCAGCAGCCACACCTGCAGCAGCAGCAGCAGCAGCAACCTCAGTTCTGTCAGCCGCAGCCTGAGTATTATCAGCAGCAGCAGCAGCAGCAGCAGCAGCAGCAGCAGCAGCAGCAGCCGGCACATCAGGTGCCTGGCTGGCAAGCTGGGGAGCAGGCGTTCCTTGCTCCAGGGTACCAGTGTGGTAACCTCGACGGCAGAGGTAGCACAAGCTGCTTCGCCCCGCCCTCTACCGGAGCCAATGCTGTTGTAAACAATGTCAACTACCCAGCTCAGAGTTATGATGTGCCAGCTCACCATGGAGCCCTGCCAGGTCAGCAGGAGGTGCGCCAGCCAGAAGGGAGTGGGCGTGCTTTAAACATGCCAGCCATGTTCTGCGACTTGGTTGCTGATGCGCCCACGCAGCAGGGAAGTAACATGCAAGCCACCGGTATTTCTGCTGCTGCTCTGCCTGACTATGTGGCTGCTCCCACATGTTTCGAGATGCCTGCTCCAGGCGCTGACGCCTACTCATCACTCCCAAACGCCGCTGATAATGATGATGCTTTTGACGCCGTGGCTGCTTTCCTCGGTCCTGACGTCTCCCCTCCGCCTCCTGCTCCCGTCGCTTTTGCCACCTTTCAACCCAGTCACCTTGCTGCTGCTGCTGCTTCCGCTGCTGGTATTGGCGGTGCTCCGTACGGTGCTGCGTTCAGTGGCGCTGGCAGCAGGAGTGTAACCGCCAGCAGGAGCATGAGCATGAGCAGCGCAGTGAGCTGGATTGCTGCTGAGCTGGAGAGTGCCCTTGACATGCAGGAGACGGTGGGGGACCTGTGGGGGGAGGAGGGCGTGGATGACAGCACTGGCATCTGGAGCAGCAGCGTGGGAGGAGAGGGAGAAGGGGGAGGGGACGGGAGCATGGGTATGGGGGGGATGGATATGGGGATGGACGTGGTGGGGGGTGGAGCGGGGTATGGGGGGATGGGGAGGAGGGAGAGCGACATGGGGTCAACGTTTCAAGTGGTGCGGAGGGACAGTGACGTTGCGGCGTCGTTCTTAGTCATTGGCAGGGGAGAAGAGAGGCAGGAGCAGATTCAGGAGGAAACTCAGGAGGAAATTCAGGGTGGTGGTGGTGCTGCAGAGGGAGGCGCAGATGACGGTAATCTCAGCATTGGCAGCAAAAAAAAAAGTCAAATTACCATTGAGGGTTACCAGCAGCAGCAAGAGGATAGCGATGATGATATACTGACGGCTAACATTAGTAACCTCAACCGCTCTGGTGCTGGTTACCACTGCCACATCGTTGGCAATCAGCACAGCGGAGATCGCCAGGGAGGGGTATCTATGAGCAGGCTCGCCGTGCAACAGAAGTTTCATGGTGAGGGCTCTGTTCCGTCCCTGCTGCCTTCGCTGAGTGGAGACTATGATACTTACATAGACACTACTATTTTCTGAGTGGAAGTTACAACACGTAGTACACATTACCTAGAGATGTATTGCAGTCTGCTTTTTTTGTAAGCTGTGGCATCCTGTCCCGCTGCTGCATGTTAGGAGGATTACGCCACGTCGGCGGCTGAGTTGAGTAGTGTCCGATATATTTACCATATGGTACTCCTTGCATGCATGTCCTGTGCATTCTGCCTTTTGGTCTTACAGATTGGCAATCATTTCCATATGGCTAGCAGCACTCATGATGTCTGATGAACAGCAAAACCAGTCTATTCACCTCCGCTGTTCTGGATGTTGATGCTTACATTGTCGACCTGAAGTTGGGATGCCAGTGGTTTCACCCATTGTTGATGAGAATGGGGCAAGTGGTCGTTACAATAACGGTGCTCCAAATGAAGGACTCTAGGACAAGATCATAAAGCATATCCCAACTGTAACCATACGACCCCTCACTCCTCCGCACTGTCAAGCTTGATCAAGCTCAGTATATATTGACGCTTCTTCTCAATCTTCTCAAAGCTGTATGTCTCATTCATTCGCAGCAACAGGTTGTGGTTGACCATCGCCCTCACAAGGAGCTCTTTTGCTTCTTCGTGCTTCCGCTGGAGCATTCTGTAAACCTGAACAGCAGTTAAACAGAGGGGTGTTTTGGTTTCATAGCAACAAATGCATAAACTTTTCTCAGATTACCTGATCAAGCTCATCAACTCCTGTTGCCTCTCCTTCAAACTCCACGTTCATGCCTACAGTTCCTCTGTTCTGGACATCTGCAAGCTGCCCACCAGCATTTACAGTCACCATCCCCGTGTTCTGCACATCGTCCTCCTGCAAAGGTTACCAAATACCAATCGCATTAACTTCGGTTGGAAGTTCCATTGCAAGTACTCGTGAAAGTCACTCACATTTGTCGTTTTTCCAGCAGCAGGGAATGACAGCGTCATGTCCTCTTTGTCTTGTTCTTCTTCAGCTGGCTCTATGGCAAGAGGAATCTCCTGCCCATCTGCCTTGGAGTCGTAAGTAATGCCTTGCGCATCTGTATTGGAGTCATTGGTCACACCTTTGCCGAGCATTGTGGTGTTGTCCCTGCAATTTTAAGTGGAAAAGTCAAATTGAGAGTCGAGAGAGAGTTCTCTAGTTAGTAGCAACCAATCGTTGCCTTCTCACACTGCAGAATGTTGCCCAAAAACGAATGTGTTCTGTAACTGAGAATCCAATGGCGAGGGCGTAGCAAAGACACGATCAACTTGGCCGTCAGCCACCGGTGGCTGGGCTGATGTTGCCACATTAGGTTTGCTGGAGATAGAAGGCAGCTTTCTCAAACCGCTGATGTTGCTTCCTAATGCTCCATTTCCAGTTGTAGGTTTTCCCTGGCAAAAAAGGCGAATGATGAGTGTTAGTGGTTGGCAGGGAAGAAGTACCACAAAAGGCTCACTTTGAAGCAACTGGTGTAAAGCAAGTTAGACAGCATGCAAGGCTTACCTTCAAAGGAGCACGATTTGCAGGTCTTGAAGAATCACTTCCGGGCTTGATGCTGGTGCGCAATGAAAGCGAAAGTGGCTTTAGCAAGACACCCTTGCCTTGGACGACGGTGCTGCTCATGGATCTCTGCTGTCCCGGTGTTTGACGGACTGGATTCAAGGTGGTGGGTTCTTTGGGAACATTACGACTAAGCGGCAAGCTTGTGGTTCTGTTCAGTCCAGAGAGGGAGGAAAGGCTGCCGGAAGAATGCCTTGGAACACCAGGCGTGTGTCCACTTGAACCAGCTCTTGTCAATGCGGACTCTGAAGCCTTTTCTTTGAGAATGGAAGCATTCATATCTCCTGATTCTGCAGGAGGGTCTTGTCCAGACGGTTTGACACTCGTCTTCGTCAGACGAGCTAGCACTCCAGAAGGCTTAACACTCGTTTTCGTCCCTTGAGCCAATGATCTTGAACGTCCACTGCATTGAAGAGAAACACTCAGTACCATCTCGAAAAAAACACCGAAATTTAGGTGATTGCAGCATACCCTTTGCCTGAATTGGGTGCAGGGGTTGGTTCATTCAAACCAGGCAGGCTCTTCCTTGCTATCAGCACTTCGCGAGCATTGCCACTTGGTGCTCGAGAGCTCGCGGATCTGCCAATTAATAAAAAAAGTAAGAGATGGTTTGAAGGAAAACGTACACATATAGGTTGAAATGCTTACATATGTGCAGGCTCCGCGGGCTCCAGCGGTACAGCAGGCTTTGAGGACTCCAGCAGTTCAGCAGGCTTAGAGGGCTCCAGTGGTTCAGCAGGCTTAGAGGACTCCAGTGGTACTTTATTCTCAGAGGACTTCAGCGGTTCAGCATGCTTAGATGACTCCAGCGGTTCAGCAGGCTTAGAGGACTCCAGCCGTTCAGCAGGCTTAGAGGACTCCAGCGGTTCAGCAGGCTTAGAAGACTCCAGCGGTTCAGCAGGCTTAGAAGACTCCAGCGGTTCAGCAGGCTCAGAGGACTCCAGCGGATCATACTGCTTGGCGTCAGCAGTCGTCTGATCTGTCGTTGCCGCATTAAAAGAGACTTCTGCATTCTTCTCTGCTGTGCTTTGATCAATATTTGCATCTTCGTCAGTGATCCTGATCCGTCTTGGACTTCTGCTCTCAATATCTTTTTGTTCTGAAGTGTCTTGATCCAATGTGTGACCATCCAGAGATGGCTCTGACGTATGCCTTTCATTTTCTGGAAATACTGAAGTTTCACATTCTCCGAACTCAGTTTCGCATTCTCCGAACTCAGTTTTGCAATCGTCTTTCTCGTCCAAACCATCATTCGCGGATGACGGAAGCGAAAGCCCTTGAGAGATATCGTCTTCGTCAAGCTTTGGCCTGCATGGATATGGCAACTTTAGCCAATGCACAGCCCGGGAAAGACGCTATCCATGAGTATTACCTCGCATTCGCCGGTTCAGCTTTCGGAGAATCGGAATTCGCATCTGCGATGTCAAGGTCACTCATGGAAATGTCGAACTTGCTAAAACCGCTATCAAGATCGAAGTCCACCCTGAATTCCGCAAACAAACGGTGTTAGAGTCGGACTCACCAAGAAATGAATATCCAGCGTCACCTGCTGTATCTTACAGGTTGTTGAAATTAATCGGCTTCTTTGTCTTCTCCCCCGTTTTATTGGACTTATCCGTTTTCCAGTCAGAAAACATGTCGTCAACTGGAAAGGTGACCAAACGTCAAAGAAAAGGTAATTTCGGATGTAAGCATTCCTTTCGCGGAACTAACCTGCGCCCGGAGCTTTCGAGGCCGATGGCTGGGGTGTCCGGGCCCCAAACATCTCGAAGCCATCCGACTGAGCTGGTCCAAGCAAGTCATCGAGAGTGAACGACATTGCGGGATGCTGGGTTAGTAGCAAGAGTACAAATTACAAATGGCGGAGAGAGAGATTACACGGATTTTATGGCTCGAGGAAGATTGGTCTGATCGGATCAGGGGGAATTCATGCCTCCACAAGATGGAGGAAAGGATTCGTGCTGAATTGACGGCGGGCGGCTTCTTGGCTACGAATTGTTTTTGCGAAAGGACTATAGGTGTGCTCATGGGCATCGCGAAATTTAGGCGATAACCCTCTGAAGCCCATGTTTCGCTAGCCAAGGCGACAACCAGTGAGCAAACCAAACCAACTCCGAGGGGGTGAAGGTGGACTTCGAAACCGACTAAATTGACTGCTCCCTACCGTTCTGTAAACATCTGCCACCAAAACTTACCGCTCTCGGAGTGATTTACCCCTGAAACAACACTGACAAATTCCAGATGATTTCGAGATGCCTATACCACTCGAGCAGCTCGGTTGAGATAGTCTTCGTGTGGAAGGTTGACAGAGCCACCACCGGCAATGACATCGTCTCCCAATACCGCCGCTGCTACCGCACTCCGATCCCTTCTAAATTTCGGGAACTCGCTCCTCTCGGAGCTCCTGCGCTTCCGCGCTAACCTTCCGCGAGACTTCCTCCGTTCAATCACACTACCCGCACCACCCGCATCACCCACGCCGTCGACTCCTGCACAGCTCAAATCCGCACAGCTCCCCTCTCCTTCCCCCGATCTCCCCTTCCCCCTATGGGACTTCGAATACCTCCGCGCGCCGGACGACCGCGAGCGCGAGCTGCGCGCGCGTCCGGACGAGTGGAGCGCGGAGCGGGCGTGGTGGACGGCGCACGGCGAGCAGCTGGTGGGGTTCGTGCTGGTGCTGGCGGCGGCGCTGAAGCTCCACCGCGCGCTGAGGCAGACGATCGAAGGGCTTCGGCGCGGGCTGTTTCTGGGGAGCTCGCTGGAAGGCGTGGTGGGGGGGGATGAGGGGGAAGAGATGCAGTCGCTCCTGCTGCAGGTAACAGCGTCCGGTGCATGGGTGGAAGGGGAGGGGTTGACTTCCGTTGGATGGAAAATCTAACAAGCATGGAAGGCGCGTAAAGGCAGCTGAGGATGCTAAGACATGCGCTGATAGGCCAGGCTGGGTTGAAGAAGGCATAGTGGAACTGCACTGTTCTTCGTCCTATTCCTGCATATGCGAAGACATGGTGTCTCTGTGTGTGGCTCTCTCCAAGCCATCTGTTTTTTATTCAAACCCCATCCCACAGGTGCTACACACTCATGCGCTTCTGCTCCTACTCCTCTACCACCTCTTCCCTAACCAATCACGTGAGCGCCTACTCATTGCTGCGTACCGACACTGGTGCCGAACCTCTGGACCAGGCTCGGGAGAGGCCCTAGGGGAGCTGCTGACTCGCGACTTCGACGACTTATGCCAGCTGTGCAGAACCACAGGACCAGGGTCGGGGGACATGGAGGCTCCTAAGGGGACTGCTGGAGGACAGGCAACGAGCAAGAAAGTGGGGACAGAAGTGGGTGATGGCAGCAGGGCAAGCTCTGATCTCGATGCCTTTCTGTGCTCTCCGTTCCCCAGAGAGTGCTTTGACATTGAAAAGCTGGGTCATGTTTCAGGCCTGGGCTCTGGTTCGGGCTCAGGCTTGGGATCAGGTTTGGGATCCGACGGCTCTGGCCTGGCCATTGGAGGAGCGGAGACAGCCGCGTTTCTATCGCTTCCATGCGTGATAGCTCCCACGGACATGCACAGCCTGGAGCAGCTGTTCGCCCGGTTTGCCCCCCCGCCTGACGTCACATGGATGGCCATCCAGTCCCTGCTGAGGAAACAAGCCGCTGCGGTAGACTCCTCATCTGCTTCGGCCTCAAGTACCAACTTTTCCTCTTCCACCCTCTCCTCCTCTTCCCCCTTCCCCTCCACCTCGTCTGTCCTGCTCAAATCCACGTCCTCCACACAAGCTCCCTCACAGGCGGGAGCAGCAGGAGCAGCTGCACCCCGTGACACCCTTTCAGCTGTGGCAGCAGTAACGGCCTCCCTGCCCTCCACGTCGTCCCTCATCCTGCTCCTCTTCTTCCACCCCTCCTCCCTCCGCTCCGACCTGCCCTTCATGCACGAGCTCGTCCACCGCAGGCTGCTCGCCCTGCCCTACTCCTCCTCCTCATCTGCGCCTGCTGCTGCGACTGCTGCTGCTGGGGCTCCTGCCACTGCTGCCGGCGGCTGGAGCCTGTGGAAGCAACGAGCACCGACTCAGCAGCAGCAGGGAGGAAGAGGAGGAGGCGCTGTAGCAGCAGCAGGCGGAATAGCCAGGGAACCAGCTGCTGCAGCAGCAGCAGTGGGCGGGTTGATGTGGGTGGTACCCATATTTCTCGGCTTCTCTCTCGACCTCTCCATAGCGTGGCAGCACTTCCCTGCTGCCCGCTCCGCCCTCTCCCTCCACCTCTCCCCGCCCTCCGCCCTGCAGGTGGCTCAAGCCCTAGCGCAGGTGCTGCCAGGGGTGCAGCAGGCAGTCGGCAGGGCCATGGAGAGGCTCAGGGAGCAGGGGGAGGTGGGATGGGAGGAGGAGCATTGGGGTGCCAAGCCCATGGATGGCGGAACCGGTAGGGGGGAGAGACCAGGCGCTGATGTTAGATCTGCAGGCTCTGGCCCTATTGATAGCAGCAGCAGCAGCACCGCCAGCACTAGCAGCTCTGCGGATTCCAAGTCTGATTCTTCACCACCATCGTCGTCCTCTTCCTCCTCCTCCTCGTCGGCCTGCTTAGTGCCTGGCCTAGCAGTGCTGCGCAGTGCGCGGGAGATTCTCTCGCTCATCCGCCACACAGCTGCTCTGCTACGATGGCTGCTGGTGCACCGCGCCTCACTCTCCCTGCACCTCGCCCTGCCCCTCATCCACACCACCCACCGCCTCGCCCTCTCAGCACACCTGCATGCTCGCACCCACTCCCACTCTGCTGCTGCTGCCGGCCTCTCAACGCCTCATTTCTCGTCCAAAACGAACCAACTGGCCGCTGGAGCAGCAGGGCCGGATTCCTGGCCGGAAGTAGCAGATGGAATGGCTGTGGGTCTAGCAGACTATGGCTTCTCCAGCAGCAGTACCAGCAACACGGATAGCAGCAGCACCAGCAGCAGCAGCAGCAGCTGGTTTGGTGGCTGGGCCAGACGAACCCCCGCACCGGCCACCACCTCCACCACCATCGCCCCTCACCCTCCCCCCATCCCTCCTCCCTCTGACCATGACCCCCTCTTCACGCTCCTCCTCTCTTTCTCCGAGCTCCAGTCAGAGGCTGCCACGTGTCTTGCTGCCATCATTGGGTGTAGAAATGACAGCTGGCACCGCCTGAGGCGGGCGGCGTGCTCAAGGCTGGACGGACTGGCTCGGCTGTTTGTGGTGGAACAGGGTGGCGACGGAGAAGGCAGAGGGACAGCAGGAGGGGAAGGCAGAGGGGATAGTGGGAGTGGTAGCAGAACAGGGGATGGGAGAGGAGTGGGGGATGGCAGGGAGGGTATGGCAAGCATGGGATGGAAGGAAGGCGCGGATGGGAGCATTGGGGAGTGGTTTCAGCGGCTGTCGTTGCAGGTGAGTGCAGTGGGTTTCCAATATGATGAAGCACAGCTTGTTGTGCATGGCGACTAGCACCCTTATCGCACACGCTGCCACCTCTTATTCGTGGCTGCAGCCATCTCAGCCAACTCCCTTCTCCTTTCAACCTCCGTCCTATCTCCCTTCCTTACCACCCTCCTTGTGTCTGCAGGTGTCGCAGTGGCAGCACCCAGACGCCCCCTCAACACCTGCCATGCTGCAGCAACCCTTTCTCATCCCTGCAGACGCTGCGTGCCACTCTTGTCAAACCCCTTCTATCCCCCCCCCTTCTACCATCCGTTCGCCTGTGCTGCAGGTATCGCAGTGGCAGCACCCAGACGCGCCCGTAACGCCTGCCATGCTACAGCAGCTCTCCCTCGCCCTTGCGGACTCTGCCTGCCACTCCTGTCAACCCCCTTCTTTTATCCCGCCCTCTTCCTCCCCTCCGCCTGTGCTGCAGGTGTTGCAGTGGCAGCACCCAGACGCGCCCTCAACACCCGTGAGACTACAGCAACTCTCCTTCGCCCTTGCAGACGCTGCCTCCCTGCACCACATTCAGTCCCACCCCCTCGCGAGCCAATCCCTGCGCGCCACCTGTCGCCTGCTCCAGGACATGGCTCTGGTGCAAGCCATTCGAGCTGACCACCTGGCGGCCCTCTCTGCTGCTGCCGAACCTGGATTCCTGTGGGCGCTGCTGCCGAGCCTGCTGCCGTGGCTGCAGGCTCGGGTGAGGCTGCAGCCGGAGTGTCTGGGGCAGGTGGGGTGCTTGCTGGTGCTGCTGAGGGGAGGAATTGCAGAAACGTCTGCAGATGGCACAAGTGAACGTCCTCGTGCTGGGGCTGCCTCTGGTTCCTCTGCTGGTGCTAGTGGTGTTGGTGGTGGTGGTGGTGGTGAGAATGGGGCACGAGTGAGAAGAGCAGCAGCAGCTGGAGGGGTTACAGGAGGAGGAGGAGAAGGAGCAAGGGGATGGGGGAGAGAGGAGTATCTGGAGAGGCACCTGCGGTGTGTGTCACGAGCAGTGGTGGCAGTGGTGCCTGCCAGCGTGCTCAGCATCATGCACGCATGCGTCCTCAAGCTCGCACCTTCCTGCCACACACTGCCACCTGCCTGCCATGCCCCCGCCAGCACTGGCAGTGCAAGCTCACAAGGGGTGGCGGGAGTGGTGGTGGGAAGCAGGCAAGTCGGACAGGATCAGTGGGCAGTGGGACAGGATTGCGAAGATAAGGGTCATGAGAGCAAGGCGCAGTTTGCTGCCAGGGTGCATGGGCAGGCGTCGTTCCGGCAGGCGGTGGCTCGAGCACGGGCAGCAGTGGCTGGTTTTACAAAAGGCGTTTCCGCCTTTGAGGCCAAGGGACTAGTTTTCATAGGGAAGGAGGGGCGAGGGAGGGGCGCACAGAGCACTATTCCTCCTCCTCCTGCTACTCCTGTTGTCCCGGCTGCTGCTGCTGCTAGTGGTGACGCAGCAATTGCTATCACTGGTACTTCTGGCACTCATGCTGATTCCGTTGCCCCTGGTGGTTCCTTACCATCACAGCCACGACCAGTAAGCAACAGCAAAAGCGTCAACAGACTCACTCCAGGCAGCATCACCACAGATGAGTGGGCGGGAGGGGCATGCCATGCAGTGGTGGTGGCACTGCGACTCATGCTCAGACACCAGGCAGCCGCCATACTGCGAGAGGGCTTCTCTGGGGGGCTTACAGCCCTGCAGGGCGCAGGGAAGGGGCAGCAGGGGGGGGAGGGGAAGGTGGAAGGGAGGAAGGGAAGTGGCTGGGGGGGTTTGTGGTCCTGGGGGGTTAAGGGAGGGGGTGTGGACGGGGAGGGGGTTGAGGGTGTGGGAGTGGGGGAGGAGGGGGGAGGTGGTGAGCAGAGGAGGAGGAGGGAGGGGTTTGAGAGGAGGGTGGTGGAGATGGAGAGGCGGCTAGGTGCGTGGGAGTACTGCACGTGCCTATTCGAAGATGTACTTGTAATGAAAGGCAGGGGAGGTGGAAGGTGGAGTGGGAGTAGGGGAGTGGCTCGGGGAGGGGGGCGGGAAGGAGGAGGTAGAGGTGGCGGTAAAGGAGGCGGTTCAGTGTCAGTGTCCTCCTCGCCTTGCTCTCCGTCTCTCCTGTGGCGCAGTACCGTGCAGCCACTGCTGCTGCACGCCCTTCAGCAGGAGAGCGGGCAGAGGGGGAAAAGAGGACCCGGCAGACAAACCTCCCAGCTTTCCACCTCTCTCAACACGGGTACCTTTCTGGACGCTGCAGTGTCATCGTTGCTGCATCTCTCCCACCCCTCCCACGCCATGTTCCTCCCTCCCTTGGCCGCTTGGTTCCTCCCCTCCGGCCTCCCTTCCCTCTCCCTACCGCTCATCCTCCGCCTCGCCTCCTGCCTCTCTGCCTCTGGCAACCCCCATACTGCCGCTACTGGTGGCAGCAAAGAAGGTGCTGCAGAGGAGGGAGGGCCAGATGGAGCACGGGTGGCAGAGGGGCTTGTGGCTCTGGATTGGGCGCTGAGGAGAGAGGAGGAGGAGAGAGTGAGGGGGGTTGTAGGGATGGTGGCAGTGATGGAGCGAGAGAGGAGGGGGGTGCTGATGACGCTGCTGGAAGAGTTGAGGGAAGGGGGAGAGCAAGAGGAAGAAGAGGATGGGGATGAAATGGGAGGAGAGCAGAGGCAGCATGTGCGGAAGCCTCGAGGGGGAAACGGGGGAGGAGGTGGAGGGGGAGCGGGGATGGAGGCAGCAGCAGCAGCAGTGAGAAGAGCAGCGAGGCCAGCGGTAGGCATGGCACGGCATGTGTTGGGAGTATATGGGCGAGCAGAGCACAGCATGAGCCTGCCAGTGGCGGGTGAAGTGGGAGGAGGACGGCAGGGCGGGGGCAGCATGGCAGGCAGGGCCGGAGGAGGGGTGACTGAGGCTGGAATCGCTACCTCCGCAGCAAAGCAAAATCCTTTTGAATGGCTAGTTGGTTCTGCTGTTACGTTGACGAGTGTCACACGGGCATTGGCGGAGGTGGGCCAGGTGCGGCTAGTGCGGGGGCTGGTGCGCATGGCTGCATGTGCCGCCATGGGGACTGAAACCCCCTCTGCTGCTCGGTCAGTGGAGTGCCTGCTAGCCACCCTGCACCTACAAATACCTGCTCATGCTCCCAGCGCTACCGGGAATGTAACTGTTACCACTGCGGTTACCAGCCGTCCTTCACCTGATGCCACTGCCAGCAGCAGCAGGAGCAGCAGCGACTGTGTTTCAACAGTTGAGCTGCTAGTTCTGGTTTCCCTCTCTCACCTCCGTCTTCTCCTACTCGACCCCTCCCTTGCTTGCCTCTCCCGCCGCACGCGCAGTGCTAGTGCCTTTGATGCCAGCTGCCTGGCGGCTGGCATCTGTTGTCTTTTGTCAACACTTCCGAACCCAAGAGAGCAGATTGCCCTGTACGTGCGGTGCATGGAGGAGTATGGGGATGCGGAGGTGGTTGTAGGTGGGTTGGGGGGAGAAGGCCCGGAGGAGACGGAAGTGCGTGGAGTGGTTGGGAGGAAGAAGGGAGAGCATGGGGCAAGTGGGGGCCGTAGGGCGATGAATGGTTTGGTTGACGCATGGCTGGCTGAGTTTAGAAATATAAGTGCCGCAATTTAATATATGCTTCAGAGAAATCTATTTGAGGAGGTCCTTGAAAGCTGGCCTTGATGTTTTTAGAAATTACAAAAGTGTGCATTTGAAGTTATACGAAACCCGTTCTGGGGAACATATCGTGAATAGGTGTGGTTCAAAGAACCAAAGCAGATCTCCGTGGTCGGCTGTCCCTTACTAGCTAGCATCCGTGGTCAGTGATACTACCCACCCTTGTGCATCTGTCCAGCACCCAGCACCCGTCCCCCGCACCGCTTTCCATGGGATTTAAGGGCACTCGTTAGATCCGAGCATGGAGTTCTATGAGGAGAAGCCCAAGGTGAAATTCGAGCCGACTCAAGAGTCATCAGGTTTCCTGATCGACTTGTTCGAGGAGAAGCCCAAACTGCTTGGCTCAGGCTCCTCTGGCGCCCAGGCCGCCGGTCCCGCCGCCGCTACCCCGCCGCCCGTCTTGCGTCCGCCGTCTGCAGCCCCTGCGCCAGCGCCCGTCCCGCCCGCGTCCTCTTTTCCGCGCGTTCCCCCTGCCGAAACTTCTCCTCCCGTCCCGCCCGCCGCCACTTTTCCGCCCATCCCGTCCGCCGCCTCTGCGCTGAACCCACCATGGCCGATTTCGCGCGCCCGCCCTGAATGGCCGGCTGTCCCTGGCGGCATGGGCGCGCTGCCCCCTCCGCTGCCCCCTCTGCCCCCCCTGCTGCCGCCGCCTTCTCGCGCGTTCCTGCCTCCGCAACATCGCGCGTTCCCCCGTCCTTTCCCCGCACACTCGCCTCCGCCGATACCCGCTCGTGCGCCCGCCTACTGGGCGCCGTGGCGCTATGGCCCGCTTCCGGTTACCGGCGCGACCAGGGCGGCAGGCGCATCGGGGAGGGCGGGGAAGAGGCGCAGGGAGGGTGCACCAGAGACAAGCCGTGGGGAGCATCCACGTGGAGGGAAGGGCGCAGAAGCGGAGGGCGACGGGAGGGGGGAGGGGGGAGCGAAGGGGGGAAGTGACGGCAGCGGAAGCAGAGAGCGCGGAGGGGAGGCGGGCGTGGGGGAAAAAGGCGGGAAGAAGCAGAGGAAACAGGGTGGGGAGGGAAGCAATGCTGCGAGCCCCCTATCATTCCCTGCCACGTGTCCCACTTGTCCCGGCGTGCAGCTGACGTCACTGAGTACCTTCCAGTCGCACATCATGGGTCGCAAGCACCGAGCCAAGGCTAGAGGCGCTGCGCATGGGGATACGGGGCAGGCGGACCAGGGGCAGCCGGATAAGGGGCAGCCGGATAAGGGGCAGGCAGACACTGGGCGTGGGGAAAAGGGGCATGGGGTTAAGGGGGATGCGGACAAGGGGGATGCGGACAAGGGGGATGCGGACAAGGGGGATGCGGACAAGGGGGATGCGGAGAAGGGGCATGCGGAGAAGGGGCACGCGGACCAGGCGAAAGGGGACATAGGGAAGGGGGACAAGGACCAGGGGAACAGGCAGAGGGGGCATGGGGACGGAGGGGGAGGAGTGGGTAGCGTGGACAAGGAAGCGCGGGGGAAGCACGTGGACGCGGGGGGGGCGGAGCGGGGGAGGCATGTGTATGCAGGGGGGGCGGAGCAGCGCAGAGACGCAGATCGCAGGTGGAGAGGTGAAGACAGGTGGGGGGGGCATGGGGGACTGTGGGGGCATGGAGGACTGTGGGGGCATGGGGGACTGTGGGGGCATGGAGGACTGTGGGAGCATGGGGGACTGGGGGGGCATAGGGGACAGGGGGGGCATGGGAGATCGGGGGGGCATGGGGGACTGGGGGGGCATGGGGGCTGGGGGGCCCATGGGGGACTGGGGGGGCATGGGGGACTGGGGGAGCATGGGGGACTGGGGGGGCATGGGGGCTGGGGGGTTCATGGGGGACTGGGGGGGCATGGGGGACTGGAGGGACATGGGGGACTGAGGGGGCATGGGGGACCGGGAGGTCACGGGGCACTGGGGGAGCCTGGGGGACTGGGAGGGCAGGGGGGACTTGGGGGCCATGGGGGATTGGGTGGGCATGGGGGACTAGGGGTGCCTGGGGGACTGGTGGAGCATAGGGGACTGGGGGGGCATGGGGGACTGCGAGGGCGTGGGGGACAGGGGGGGCATGGGGGACTGGAGGGACATGGGGGACTGGGGGGCAATTGGGGAGTGGGAGGGCAGGGGGGACTTGGGGGCCATGGGGGATTGGGGGGCCATGGGGGACTTGGGGCGCATGGGGGATTGGGGGGGCAGGGGAGGCATGGGGAAGTGGGTGGACTTGGGGGGCATGAGGAGCATGGGGGGCATGAGGAGCATGGGGGGTGTGAGGAGCATGGGGGGCATGAGGAGCATGGGGGGCATGAGGAGCATGGGGGGCATGAGGAGCATGGGGGGCATGAGGAGCATGGGGGGCATGAGGAGCATGGGGGGCATGAGGAGCATGGGGGGTGTGGGGGTTTTAGAGGTGATGGGCTGCATGAGGAGCGATGGCAATGTGGGGATGACTGGCAAGAGGAGGAGAAGCCCCGTGTGGGGGTGTTGGGCAAGGGGGGTGTGAAGAAGGAGGAGAAAGACACGGAGAAGGAGGTGGAGATAATCGTCTTAGAGGATGATGAGACAGACGAGGAAGAGGAGAAGGCGGTGAAAGTGGAGAGGATAGAATTAGAGGACGATGAGTAAAGTGAGCACAGACAAGAGGAGAGATACTAGGAGAACGAGGAGGATGGAGAGGGAGTGCGGTGGTTCCAGGGCAGAGGGAGCAGAAGTGGAAGGGAAGGGGTTTGGGCGTGTGGGAGCACTGTTTATGGGGGGTTGGTGTGAGAGGTGTGGAGAGACGTGCGCCCATGAGAGCAACTTGAAGCTTCACCTCACCTCCACCTCACTTCAAGCTGTCTGCCGCAGCTGCTTCTGCTCTCGCACCCCACCCGCACCATCTGCTGCACCTGCAGCACCTGCAGCACCTGCAGCACCTGCAGCACCTGCAGCACCTGCTGCACCTGCAGCACCTGCTGCACCTGCAGCACCTGCTGCACCTGCAGCACCTGCAGCACCTGCTGCACCTGCTGCACCTGCAGCACCTGCTGCACCTGCTGCACCTGCTGCACCTGCTGCACCTGCTGCACCTGCAGCACCTGCTACACCTGCAGCACCTGCTGCACCTGCAGCACCTGCAGCACCTGCTGCACCTGCAGCACCTGCTACACCTGCAGCACCTGCAGCACCTGCAGCACCTGCAGCACCGGCAGCACCTGCAGCACCTGCTGCACCTGCAGCACCTGCAGCACCTGCTGCACCTGAACCACCCGCACCAAGCATGGTGGCCACATTGCCTGCAACACCAGTGCAGCAACAGTGGCGCTTTAATCATCTCCATTTGGCTGGGAGGGTCCTCAACACTGTTATTACAGTCACTGCACTTACCAGCAGTCCTTTCCCTGACACCACTGCCACCAGCTCCTGCACTGGCAGCAAGCAGCAGCAGCAGCGGCGGCGGCGGCGGCGGCGGCAGCGACTGCGTTCTAACAATCCAGCTGCTAGCCCTCGTCTCCCTCTCCCACCTCCGTCTTCTCCTCCTCGACCCCTCCCTCGCCTTTCTTCTGTTGTGGTAGGGCAACAAGTGGTTTTGTCGAGGCATGGCTGGTTGATTTCAGAGATATGCATATTTCACATACTAGGACGAGGAGACACTAAAGAAGAAAGTAGAAATCTAGAGAAATCTGCAGAAAAACAAATGGTTACTTTGTTTCGTACAAATTAGATTGCTCCATAAAATCACACGGGCGAAAACTTGTGTCGTGTCGTCACCTCTTGCAATCCACGCGAGTCAATAGCAGTTCTAGCTGGCTGCTGATGCTATCTCAACCTACCTCCACGCGCCATCTGCCATGGCAGGGTCGCATCGCCTCGCCATTCTCCTCTCAACGGTCGTGCTCTCGCTCTCCTCAGCGTCCTCGGCAGGCCCCAAGATTCGTTTTTAGGCATGCTGATTTATCATCCTTGCCCCCCATACTTAGGCTGATTTCTCAGCCCCCCCCCAGGAAAAAAGGCTGAATGTTACAGCCTTGACTAAAAAAGTTTCGCTGAATCTTCAGCCTTGGTTAAAAAAAAAACACTGAAACTTTACAAAGCCACTTTCATTAATGACAGTCATTACATTTCATCTTCGACGTCTACATAAGCATCTACTTTCCCCCCATCATCCATGGGGTCACTACAATCATCATCATCCACCTTCTCCTTGCCCTTCCTGCTCTGGGGACGGGGCCGACAGGTGGAATGGGGCCTCCTCTTCTTGTACGCCCTCCAGATCTCTACTACAGCGGGGTAATCCGGGGTATAATCTAGCATAGACATCACCATGAGATCGCTAAGCCGGGCATCCTTGAGGCTGCCACGCTGCCAGCTCTTGATCAGGTTCTGGCGGGAGAAGCCACGCTCGCACTCGACAGTGCTGAGAGGCAGCACGGCCACCGCCACCCACAACCCCACAAGATTGGGGTAGTGGATCTTCCAGTCGCTGGTCTTGAGCACAGCGGTGAGGCCGGCATAGAACTTGCGGTCGACGGTGGTCAGCCGTGCGAGCATGGGAGCGAAGTGGCGAATCTCCTTGGCCGCCCTCCTCTTGTTAATGCCTGGAGGGGGCGGGAAAGACGAGCGGGGAAATTTAAGAGGTTTGAAAGATAAGATATTCCAAGGAATCTCAACATGCGTAAAAAGGGAGACGGAAAACAAAGCAACTCAGACGGTGGACAGCACCTGGCAGAATCTCTTCGCTATCCTCCGCTTTGTATAGTTGCACCAGCAGGTCAAACCACTCCAGGCACTGCTTCTGTCTGGCGGAGCGCTCCCAGTTTGGCGGCCAGGTGTCAGCAGAGAAGAGGCGACATCCCGCGAGCTGTTCCAGGTCCCCAAGACGCTCGTCCAAGCCCTTCACCAGCCTCTCAGCAAAGGCCGTGCAGTCGTCGACACAGGCCTCGTGTGTTCCCTCCCCGGGGTAGCCGTCGATCTCTTCAAAATGGAGACTTACGGTGATGCGGACGGGACGGCCATCAGATGCAACTCCGTCAACGGTGACTTCTGGAGTACCGTTCGGGCCGTGACGGGTGAGGAACTGGCCGAGCCGCGACATCTCAGTACCGCCAAAGTCGTCGCCGCAGTCGACATACCGGCTCTCCAGCAACCCGGTAGTCTGCGCGATCTGGCTGGCGACGGTCGCGTAGTCCAGCTGCGAGGAGAGGTGTTCACGGGGCAAAGGTGGGTGGGAAAATAAGAGACAGGATAACAAGATAAGCATATGCACGTGCTTGAGAAAGACGCACCTCCCGCTGTTGGAACACCTTATTGATGATGTTGAGCTGCTCAAGAACATCAGCCAGAAAGTGTAAAAAGAACCAGAAACGATAGCTCCGAACAATAGCCAGCAACTTCGAGTTCCTCAGCTCCGTGACCATGACCAGCACAGCTGGTAGCACATCCAAAAGACGGAGGATCGCCTCACCGCGAGAGAGCCATCGGATGGCGTGGATCCCCTGCACTTCCAGGTTGGTGTCGTTGAACATCTGCTGCAGGTCCTTGAAGCGTTGATGCCAGGGTCCAGAACGACCGAGGAACTCTGCAATCTCTTTGATGAAGTCGTCGACGATGCCGAAACTCTTCATCTCTTCCGCGGCATCCTTGGCCGCCAGCGCCTCCCTGCAAGTACAAAACGAATGTGTTAAAACACGTCTCGCGGGTATACGAAAGCGGGAAACTCCTCAATAACACTTACCGATGGGCGATGCAGTGGCATGACACGAGGTGTGGGACAAGCACTCTCAGTCGAGCGACAAGGCCACGCGTCTTCCCGAGCATGACGGCAGCGCCGTCAGTACTGATGCCGGAGATTCGGCGTAGATCCACACCAATAGCCTGGATGTGGGACAACAACAGCGAGAGCAACGAGGCAGCGTCAGCCCTGTCAACTGTGAGAAGCGCAAGGAGTTCCGTCACTTGACGGTTCTCCCGAATGAAGGTGGCAAACACAATCATGTGTTTGCCACGACAGCGGTCGGTGCTCTCATCGAGACTGAGGCCGATGTAGGGGCTGGCCAGGAGGTGTTCGAGCTGAGTGGTCTGGAGCCATGTCGCGAGGGCTTGTGTGAACTGGCCGAAGCCATACCTGCCATAGTATCACGAAAAGAGAGATAAGGACGTGAAAAAGTCGCGAATGTAGATAAAAACTAAACACGGTCAGAGACTTACGAGTTGTAGTACGTTCCGTAGCCTTGCTCTGGAAAGCCGCGGTACTTCCGTTCCGCCAGGTATCGCGTGAGACGAATCCACGTCTCCATCGGCTCGTTGCAGCGGCTGCAAAAGTAGAGCACGTCGAGCAATGAAGACACGTGAAGCAGCTCCAGGTCTTGAGCGAGCTGGTGTTGGTCGATGCGTTGTTGGTTGGTCGCCATCTGCAGCAAGTCGATTTGCTTGGCCACCGCGAGCTCATGTCGAGTAGTCGCAGCGTGCTTCTTGAACGCTTGGACCTGCACGTCGGTTGCTCCGTGCCCGCTCCTGCCAGTTTTCCCCTTGAGACCTGCATGTTCGGAATCAGGGTCCTAAACCATTACTAACAGGCGTCGAGGAAGAAATGACACTGCGGGCCAAGGCAACCCTACTTCCAGGCGATGGAGAACACGCTGGAGCAGACGACCCCTTCAAGAACGCGGTGCGGTTCTGCTGCTGCCCATGCAACGTTCGCGGGGGTACCCCCTTCTGGAATCTTCAGGTGTGCGCTCCGGGGGAGCATCTTTTCTGCACTGTTGTACCAGCGATTATGCAGCTGAGTCACAAAAAGCTCTGGCGATTGGTTTACTTAGCTGGAATTTGCCTAACACCCAGTCACAATGCGCAGTCGCTAGTGTGCTAGCAACGGTGGAGGGGAATCCGCGTCAGATGTCACGCCGACAGCCCAACATTGCAGCCACGCGGCGTGGTTGACGGGGGTAAACGTGTCACTTTGCGGTAATCGCGGGGGGCCCCCGAAACACAATAAACTCGGTTTCAGCCTCCCCCCCAGGGAGTGCGCTGAAACCTCAGCCTACACTCTAGAAAAAAGGCTGAAAACATCAGACTAGGCTATAAAAAAAAGTCTGAAATTGACAGCCTTATGTATAATAAAAAGTCTTTCAGTTCAGCCTTGGTACAAAAAAAAAGCCTGAAAAAAGGCTGAATCAGCGTAAAAAGGCTGATATCTAGGGGCCTGGTCCTCGGCTGCCGTGACGCTTGACCCTGCGCAAGGTCGGTGCTGCTAGCAGCGGCAGATCTTAGAATTCCAGCATCTCGTGGGCCTATTTCACGCGCATGTCGCACACACATGTCGCGCACATTGTCGCACGCAGTGCGACGTACTCGTCGACGTGCTGCGGTCCTCCGCGCGGCGTGTCCCTCGATCTCGTCGCGACCTCCGAGGACGAGTGGTTGAGACGAGCGGTCGAGACGGTGGTCTGCCGAGGGTGGGCGGTTCACATACTAGCGCATTCCGTACCGCGAAGATTGGCAGCCTAGCGAGGCATGTTAGCGACCTACTCTTTCCCTAACTGACAGTCCCAGCCCGTGGCTCGTCAGTGCGCCACCTTTCTAGGAAGCTCATCGCTCCCAAACGAGCTCTTTTTGTTGTGAGTGGCACGTGATGCGCGTGCCACATTTTTCTCGCCACTCCAACCCCTCCCCCTCCAAAACCGCTCGTTACAATTCTTCACCTATCCCAACCCATTTCCCACCAACCAAACCTACTCTACCTACCAAATTTCCAACCCAACTTTTCCAGCTCATCTCCTCCAACCTAAGGCCTCCCAACTGCTCATTAATTTTCCCCATTTCTCATAATCATTCCTAGTCCACCTCAACCAAGCTTCCAACAAATCCTCCTATTCATCTCCAACTCCTACCTCAAGGCACATAACTCTTCATCATTTTCCATGTGCTCTCTCTTCCTACTCATCAAGAATTCTTTGAGACATCTACTCCAACCAATAATCCTCCTCACATGTGCCTCAAGCACATTCCTCCCTTCCCTACTCATCAACCTCCACATGCCCCTTATTTATTCCTTCCTTCCTTCCTATCCCAAGTCATCCAAGTTGCCATATCATCACACAAGTCTCTCATGATTCCTTCCATTCCTCACCTTCCAACTCAACAAAGCTTTCATTCCTCCTCCTTTCCTTCCTTTCCAACTCATCCAAGTTTCTCTCCAACACCACATGGTTATTACTCCAAGTCACCAAAGGCTCAACAACCATCACATGCTCCGCTACTATTCATCTTCACCAAGAATCCTCTCCAACTTCTCAAGAAGTGTCTCAAAGTCCAACAAGGCATCTCCAAGCTCCTCTCCTTCAAGCTCCCCTTCAAGTCTTCTTCAAGCTCCTCAAGTTCACATCACTACAAAGGCTCCTTGTTAGCATTCATGTTCTATGTCTCTAGAGATGGTATTACCATGCTACCCTTCTTCCTAGACTACTATGAGTGGTCTCTCTCTCATGCATCTCCTTGTATCCACTGTGGATTATAAGGCCTGTACTACATCCTCTTTCATATAAGTTTATGCTCTCAGAGTTCTCTCACAAAGTTTCTAGATTAGCAAAGTAATCAAGCACTAGACCACCTTATACCGAACTTGAGTATAGGGTGCATTACCAAGCCACAAGCTTGTAGGAAGACTCCCTCTTCAAGTACAAGACCCTCTCTTTCAACCATATCCAAGATTGTGGTCCCCTCTCAAGCTTGTGGTATTCTTCCAAGCTCAAG